AGCAGTGCCCACAAGCTGAAGTTTTCCTCTCAACACAGACATCGATGAAAGGAACCTATCAATGTAGTTCACAGCCAAGTGCAGGGTCTCATTCTGTAGTTTATATTCTTCTCCTACTTCAACTAACCAGTCCACAAGGATAGCCCTCATACTGTTAGTGATGTCTGGCTGTTTCTTCATGTAACCCACTTTAGGCTTACATTTAACCTGTTGAGAAAGTTACTTACTATAATGTTAAAATTGCAATTAGATTATTCTACCATTAACAAAGATACTACATACCAGAAACATAAGTATAACATTAGAATAATTCACTAGCAGTTAAAGAACTTAAGAACATCCTGTTTCATTTTGCTACAAGGAATAAACAACAGTATAAGAAAAGGATTCCAAGAGCTCTTACCTCCATTTCCCTAAGGTATGTGTGAATGTCCTCATGGTAGTCTGGGACTTCATTGACACTCAGTGGCTTTTCATCTTCTAATACAATTGATATGTCCATAGTATGTGGTGACTCTGGGAGAATATAAAAGTATGATTAAGTTCATCATTTAATTTTCTAATTAATTTAATAGCCAAAACTGATAGCCCTTGTAAGGCGTCCCATACAAAAGCATTTCTTTCATCCAACTAAAAAAGGGCTTCTTATGACAAAGTACATAGAATATTTTACTCTGGTTTTTGTACCTCTGTCCACTTGCTTTTAATCAACAAGAGAAAATACTGATAGGCCACTAAAAGGAAAGTGCATTTGAAGATGTATTATGTTATTAAAGTATCACTCATATTCTATGAGAGAGAAGAGCAGATGGCACAGTGATCCTGTGAAGACAAGACAGTTAAAATCCAAGTTTTGTGATATTATGTAGTATTTACCCTAAGAGATTTTGCAGACCCCAAAGTCTGATAAATTCAAAGTACAACGTAGCAATAACTAGAAGGAGGGCTATTGTGTCAATGAAAATTAGGTTTGTTATGAGTTCAAACAACCTGGCACTACAATCAACAAGTGTTTCATGTTTTGTAATTTTAAATTACCTTTTGAGGCAAAGAATATCATTCGTTACTCTTTTCACTTCAAGGTTCATCTTGAGGTTAAAACTTGTTACAAATTTTCAATAAAAATACAGAAATTATTTTACTTCCAAAGGATTTTCCTGCTATTCCCAGACCACTTCTCATAATAGAACTAAAACCTAAATGAGATTGAACTTTATGAGTTGTCAGTGACTCCAGACCTATGGTAAAGAAGTTGCACAAACTGTTGGCAGAGCTGTCTTTATAGCAGCTACTTTATTTTATATGTGGTTAACTGCAAACAGCCATGATTCAACTCTTCATTCACAGGACAGTGTCCCTTTTTGGTATCAGACTAGATTTACAGAAAATTTTAAAGCTGTAAGAGATGTTAGATATCACAATACTGAAAACTGTGTCCTATTCAAATGCTATGAAGTGGTATGTACAGAGTGAGTTTTATCAGTACAATTGAAATCTATTCTCCCAAGCAAGCAAAGTGTTTGAGATCTAATTAAACTGATGTTATCGGCAGTATACAAGAAGGAAGGAGCACCCAATTAGGATTTATAGGTCACTAGGTCAATGTATTAGCTGTGAGATCTGAGATAAGTCACACACTTTATAAACTTTGTTACATTAAACCAATTTCATTATGTAGGAAGGATCAGGTACGATGTCTTAAAATGCAAAATATCATTAATTCAGCCTATTTAATAATTATGATTACATTGATTTGATACAAATCTTACAAATTTTGATACAAAACTTACCAAAACTACCATCCATTGGATAATCAAGAGGTACCAGTGGTTTTCTTGGTCCAGGTAAAGTAATAGCTGAATTAAAAGCCAGGACATTTTCATGTTCTGTTTTTTTAGATTCAGGCGGCCTCTTTTGAGTCTCTTCTGCTTCATCCACATGAATGGTAAATGCAGGCTGTTTACTGTTTGTTTTCCAGGGAGGAATAGTGACATGTTCATCATTTATAGGAAGATCCTTAAGAGGTGCAACCTAAAAAGAAATGAATATCTGGCTTTGAGCCTGTTAAATGGAGTTTTGCTTTCTTCCCCTTATGGGTCTCAGTTTCTGCTTTCACTCCCAAATACTCTCAGGAAATAAAACTATCTGGGACAAAATCCAGGCAACAAAGTTTGAGTGGCTGAAGAAAGGGATGTTCAAATTCCTTACAGGCATTCCTACATAAGTTATAGAAAGAATCACACTAAGTGAAAGTATATAAAACTAATCAAAGCTACAAGATGAGTGGAGTGGCAGGCTGAAAGATGACAAGTTTAGGAGAGCAGGCAAAGAGGTGCTGGTTCACCACTTTCGCCCCAGGGTGGAGCAACAGAGCAAATCCGGTAAAATGGCGGAATTTACTAAAAGCAAAGTATTTTATATACCCTTTCCTAAAATAGAGGTAATCTTAACCATATGGAAAGCAGGAAGCGGGTCCAGATCCTAGGGCAGTGCCTAAGGTTTAAAGCGGCGAGAAAAGCGCGGACACACGTAGGGCTTGGTTTGACCTCATTATAGAAAAATATCCCCAATAAAGAGCAGACAAGCAGCAAAACACAGCGCTGGCGAAGAGAGCAATGGGAGAGAAGCTGTAAGTGGCATCCCACATGCCAGAAAACTAGGGATCAAGGGGACTCCAGACCCAGGCCTCCCTTAAAAAAGCTCGGAAGATGCTTTCTCTCCATGCTCCTCGGCCTGCTAAACCTCGTGCAAAAGTCCCGCTCGGCCCTCCCTCCCACAGATATCGCTCATCTCCTTACCCGTCGTGTCTTGGGCCTCTGCTGCGGCGCTGGAACGCGCGGGTTCCCGGTCTTCAGTACCGCCAGCCCCGCCCGGGTCCGGGGCTGCTGGGCGGGCGCCGCCTTCTCGGGGTTGATGTTCTCCTGGTCCTCTTGGAGCGCCGTATGCTGCAATGTTAGCAGCGACGAGCCCGCCTCGCGGGCCGCAGGCCCGGGCTCGGAGCTACCCAACATCACTGCTCCCGGGGTCGCGGCGGGATCAGCCTGCGGCGCCAAGCAGCGTGTACTCCGTCCCGCCGACACCGCCGAGAAACGCTCCAGCCGTAACCAGCCGCCGCAGCCCGGGCCAGCCTGCTCGCTCGGGATCGCGCAGTTCCGAAGAGGTTGCGAAAGGCGTAGGTAGGAACTGCCGGGCGTGGAAGGCTAAAGAAGCCCCCGAGATGCAGCGAGCAGCCCGCCGGAGCGGCGGCTGTTCGTGCAGTTCAAGTATCCCGCGACTATTGAAATGGGCCAATGGGAAGGGCCGACGCCCGTGACGTCACTCGAGGCGACACGGTCGCAGGCAAATGAAGGCGGCCGCGAAGGCCACGGAGCAGGGGCGGAGAAACACCGAACGGCGGCTGGAGGAAAAACGCCTGCGCCGGCCGAAGAGGCGGGGCCTGAGCTTCTGGCGACTAAACTGGGCCACTAGGTGATCCCTGGGCACTGGACAAGGGCCGCCTCTAGGATAAGCTGAGTTAAACTTCAGCAATTGTTAGTGTGCCGCCCTAGCCTAACGTTAGCCCTGGGACCGTCAGTTAGCTTAACTGGTTTCCAAAGCTCTAAAATCTGAGCCACTAACTGGCCTGAGAGTCTTGCTCCAGTTATTCAAGGTCTCTGATTCTGTTTTCTTATCTATTAATTGGGAGTAAAAATATCTCCATGTCATATGGTTGTCATGATTATATAATGTGCATAAATCATTAACACGCTGCTCACGTAGTAACTGATACTCAAGTGCCAGACTATAATGTCATCTCACCATTTAGGTGTCTTCAGTCATGCCTTTGAATTTACCTAATGAAGATGCAATTAGGGAAGGTGCCACCTTGAACCACTGTTGATATATAGAGAGAGATTATCTATCTATCTATATATCTATCTAAAACAAAAAGTAATGTACTATAAGAAAACTAGACAGTCACTGATTTTGATGCATCTTTCCCCAAGCTGTGGCAGCCAACAAAAAGCACCCAGTGAAATTCTAGTGACCTAGATAAAATTATTTGTTCCATTTAGCAATGAAGGTTGTTTAAATATAATAAAAACAATGTTACCTTATTAAAATAAAACTCTCAGTGATATGTGCCTTCAACAAATTTTCAAATTTAATATACAAGGTTTGCATATAATAAATATAATGGTAGATAATTAAGAAACATTGTTTTTGACAAATTCATGAGTGTGCCCTTCTTGAAAACATAATTATATAATCTTTATGTCATTTTAAAACAACCTTTAAATACAATATTCCCCTGAATATGAAAAAACATAAATTAAGATTAATGAATAAAACTTCCGTAGCTTTAAAGTCTTATTTCCCTCCATACATGATAAAATGGAAATTAGTGGGTACTAGTGCAGGAAAATCTAAGGAGCCATCACTATTTCTGCACTCTTCACATGCAGTACACTTGTACAGTTTTACTGGTTACAGGGACAGCAAGTGAAGATCCCTTCAATCTGTGCAAGCTCTGCTCATTTCCCTGGCCACAATTTATAGCACTGAACCAACTCAAGCATTTCACAAACTGCGCATGGTTCATGAAACATTACCTAGCAAGAGTGAAATCAGTTGCAAATCAATCTCAACTCCGAGAAAAAATAATTGGTAAGTTATTTCCACAACGTATACAGTAACCAGGACACAAACCAGGCACCAGAACTTGGGATCTGGTCCCAGCTTTACAAAATAATAACAGCTTGTCCTCTTAATCACTTAACCTCACAGAGAATCAGTTTTCCTATATGACTTGACAAAATAACAATATATATTGTGAAGATAAGATGAAGTAATGAATGTAAATACATTTTTGAAAACTGTAAAGCAGTTTATACATGTGCGTACAGCTTGTTAAATATTTGAATATATTTTTAGTTTTCCAAATATTTCTCAATTTAAAAGTTAAAACATCCACTTGCAAAAAATTCATTAAAGTTCTTTATCATCACTCCACTTGTTTTAAAATAAAAACTCTCTTTAAAAAAGCTCCATTTCTCAAAATAGAAGCATTACTAAAAGAAGTCACATCCTAAATATTTTTAGACGATATTAAAAAGCATTTCAAATAAAAGTTTGTACAATTAGCTTGTGCCGTAATTCTGTTTTAACACATTTCGTTTAAAAAGACCCCTTTGGAACTTTACCTTGTTTATAGTTCATGCAGCATCAAAGAAAGCAATCAATGCATTTTGATCATAACTGTCCAGAATCTCCAGCAAAAGAGGTACTTTGGTTTTTACATTGGTGCCTTTGAACTTGAACTTATCTATGAAAAGATCAGTGATCATGCCTATAAAGAAAAATGTTAATTTCCTGTCATTGATTAGTTCTAATAACACAGTACTTAATGAAAGTGAGTGATTACTTGAGAATCTATTTCTAAGCACTCATCACTGCATTATTTAATATATAAGCCTAAGGGTATTGATACTTTTTTTTAAAGATTTTATTTATTTATTTGAGAGAGAGAGCACAGAGGGAGAGTGTGAGGGAGAAGCAGACTCCCCCCGGGTGAGGAAGGAGCCTGATGCAGGACTGGATCCCAGGATCCTGAGATCATGACCTGAGCCAAAGACAGATACTTAACTGACAGCCACCCAGGCGCTCCAACAGATTGTTTGAATTAAAATATTCCATCAATATGTTGACCATTCTTGGGATTTATCCAAGACATGTTTCAGAATTTTTCGTATTTTAGAGAGATAATAAAAGGGATATACCAAATATAGCATAATATCCAAGGGGAATGAGCTTCTGCAACAAAATATATGGGTGAATATTCACACTAAGTGTAATAAAAATGACTATAAATAACCTCATGTCAGTTTAAGTGAAATTTTGTCATTAAATTATTAATTCATGTCAAGTCAAATTTGCTGCCAAATGATTTATGAAAGTTTTAGTTTTTAAAGCTTTCTGGATTTTGGAACTGGTAATAATAGAAAACCACCCATCTTCTAAGTTATTATAAGGATAAAAGATCATGTGTTTTCCATATAGTAAATATTAAGATATTAGATATTGTTATGGTTTGTGAGCAAGACCCTGGCTATTAAAATAAATTCATTAGGCAGGTTCAAAGATCAATGTGGATTGATGATACCAACTGACTCTAGAAAAGATTTGGCATAGTGCAAAAAGCAAGCATTTTGGGGTGAGGAAGTTCTAATGCAGGCTTTGCCACTACCAATGTGACAACAAATTCTTTAGTGTCAGATTTCAGTTAAAAAAATGTGAAAAATGAAGATAACACCATCTATTTTGCAGAGCTGTTGTAAGGATTAAATATCTGATTAATGAAGATGTTATAAAGAAATAGGAAATAAATAAGCTTAGCTTATATAAAGATCACACACAAAAAAATGTTTTCCTTAAGCTGTTCCATCCTTCCTCTTTCTCTCCCTTCCTGCGTATCTCCCTCTTGTTCTCAGTGTTTTTCAAGACAATTTGTGAAACACCCAACTTGTCACCACCAAAGCAAAACAACTTTTGCTGTAAATTCACAGCACATACATATCCTTTACTATATTTTGCCTAAAAAATATTAAATGCTGCCTTTTGATATTTCACAATATCAACAGAACCTAAAAATTATTCGTGTGAAATATGGCCTACATTTTATTCCTTCATAGGTTATATTCATTTCACACCAGGTTTCTTCATATAGAGATTAATTTACTGCATTACACTTATTTCACTTAAGTTTTACTTTCATTTTTTTCTAGATTTTTTTTTTTTAATTTATTGTCAAAGAGAGAGAGAGCACAAGTAGGGGGAGTGGCAGGCAGAGGGAGAAGCAGGCTCCCTGCTGAACAGGGAGCCCAATGCAGGACTCCATCCGACTCTGGGATCATGACCTGATCCGAAGGCAGATGCTTAACGGACTGAGCCACCCAGGCTTCCCTCTCATTTTTTCAAGTAAAAATATTAAATATTAAAACAAATTTTACAAAATATTTGATGCAATAAATTGGTTGTCACTGGTTCATGATTGCTGTAATCTTCGCTTATCTTTCTGCCTAGCTTCTCAGGAGATTCTTCACAAATAGCCAGTAGAAAAGAAATATGGCAAGGGGGCACCTGGGTGGCTCAGTTGTTAAGCATCTGCCTTCGCCTTAGGTCATGATCCCAGGGTCCTCGGATCGAGTCCCACAACGGGCTCCCCACTCTGTGGGAAGCCTGCTTCTCCCTCTCCCACTCCCCCTGTGTTCCCTCTCTCGCTGTCTCTCTCTCTGTCAAAAAATAAAAATAAAATCTTAAAAAAAAAAAAAGAAATACGGCAAGGTTTTCTAGAACAGTCCACTAACCGTACAGTCTTTCAAGATGTGCAGGTTGCTTTTTGTATTCTTCCTGTAGGTGATCTGCCTCTTCTAGAATACAGCGATATTCTGGTATCAGAAAGTTTGTATTTCCCTCATGAACCTGCAATTCCTTATTTAAAATTAAAAACAGAAGGACTTTAATAATCAAAATCCAATCCAGTGTAACTTTAAAGTCTTTATAATTTTAAAAATCCCATCACAATAAAGTAATGATCATGAGTTCATGAAATGTATACTTACTTTTAAAGCATCAATTAATTGCACTTTCTTAGCCAAAAGCAACTGGTACTCCAGCTTTGGGTGGATTAGCTTTAAAGTGTGTTTGACTGATACTTCATTTATCTCTAGAAGGAGGTGAGTCAGGCACAATTAGCTAATGTCACTTTGATCAGAAATATTCCTATTGTAACAATAACCAAAAAACAATACCCCATAAAGAATGATTTATTTTTCCTCTTTTTTTTTTTTTTTTTACCATATGATATGTTGAGGTTAATCTTCCTTTTAGTAGCTTCTTTAGAGAGCACATCTTTTAGGATGGATATAGTAGAAATGTTGTCAGATTTAAAAACTCCTTCTCCTTTTCTATAAAATTAATATATTTTTAAAAGAACAGCATTAGATGAAAATACATAAATAGGTCCAGTAAATACATATTTTGTGACTAGTACCTGGTGTTTAGAATTCATTTGATTTTAGGTCTCTTTCTATACATTATTATTAATATAAAATACATTATTAATATAAAACATTTAAATGTGTAACCTTTTACTATTATATAAATTCAAGTTCTGAACATAATTGTGAAACTAAACAAAAGATGTGAGATATATGCCTCCTAAACATATAACAATTTATATAAATCCTTCATTAAAGCATCTTTTTTCTTCACTCTCACCAATAAAATTTCTAACAGCTAACTCCATATGTATATAAAATGCTTTTAGAACTGCTTATTTACATATAAGTATGTTTTTCTATGTAATCACATAAATTACAACATGACTACATTCTTTATTCTTAAAAGAAAGCTGATATTAAGCCTAAGAATGACAGCTTCTGTTCTTCCATGCCCATCATCCATTGCCACTTCTTATGGACACAGGACCTGTCATCTTCTTTATAGAACCACTTCTTTGTCTTACCCTTCTCAATCCATATACAGTTGATCCTTGAACAATGTGGGGGGTAGGGTGCCAAACCCTGTAGTCAAAAATCCGCATATAACTTTGGACCCCCCAAAAACTAGTAATACCCTAGTAAAGTCAATCAACACATATTTTGTATATTATATACTATATTTTTACAGTAAAGTTAGAGAAAAGAAAATGTTATTAAGAAAATCATAAGAGAAAATACATTTACAGTACCATATTTATTAAAAAAATCTACATATAAGTGGTCCCATGCAGTTTAAATCTGTGTTGCTTAAGAGTCAACTGTAGTTTCACTGGCAGTGGCCTCAAGCCCATTTGTGGGACTTTAAGAGAAAGCATTTAGCAGTGTATATTCCATCTTCCTGACCACAATGGTTCACGGCTCCACAATGACACTCAATCCTGGGATTTTATTGGAACCAGTGGGAAAGAGAGGGTCTATGATACCTGAAAACATAGAAAACTGGACAGAACTGCTGGTGGCCACTATGGTACTTAATAAGAAAGCCAAAAAAAGATAAGAACGGAGCTGAGCAATGGAAAGGGATGGTCTTATTTTTTAATTTTTTTTAATTTAAATTCAATTAACATATAATGTATTATTTGTTTCAGGGGTACAGGTCTGTGATTCATCAGTCTGATATAATACCCAGTGCTCATTACAACACATACTTTCCCCAATGTCCACCACCCAGTTACCCCATCCCTTCACCCCCCTCCCCTCTAGCAACCCTCAGTTTGTTTCCTCTGATTAAGAGTCAATAATGGTTTGTCTCCCTCTCTGGTTTTGTCTTATTTTGGAAAGGGATAGTCTTTGTTGTGCCTGAGGCAGATTACTACTGGACTTTTAAATTATATGAGCTGATAAATTCCTGTTATTCAGTATGTTGGTCTGCTTCTATTTGGTTCCTTCTTATGATAACCAAAAGTTTCCTAATTAATATACATACCATTTTTTCATATATTAAATGCTATCTTTTCATTTGGTTTTCACACACACTAATAGTTTACATTAACTAGCTGTAGACAAATGCTAATTCATTTTTTCTAGGAAGATGATTCATATATATTATTTTGATTCCAATTATGTTTCAGAAATCATGATATTTTCACTAGTCTTTAATTTTAACTGATGATGTTTAATATTAAACACACAGTACCTAGCACTGTGGAATGATTCACATGGTTTATCTTCTTTTAATCATCACAGCTCAGTGAAGTGCTTTTATTGCCATCCCTCAGAAAAGAAAACTGAAGCTCAGAGAGTTAAATAGTCCAGATAGGACAAATAGATGGTAAGTCACAGAGCCATGATCAAACCTACGTATGTCTGCCTCCAAAGCACACTTTCTCCATATATATGTATTTTATTCAGGCACTCTAAAAACATTTATCAAGCACCACTATGTTCAAAGCCATTCAGTAGGTACTTGGAGGAAACATATGAAGATAATTAAGAAACTGACTCTGCCCATGAGGAGCTTAAAGTCTAATTTGAAGAGACAAGCTTACATAAAAATTACTATGTACTTCAAATAACAATAAATAACCTAAGACAGGTAGGAAGGCTTCAAAATGTAGCTATTGAGTTGAGCCTTGGAGGATAAGTAGAATTTTGATTGTTTTTTAAAGGGATTTTATAGCTTTATTTTTATTTATTTTTTTAAAAGATTTTTATTTATTTATTCAAGAGAGAGAGAATGAGATATAGAGAGCATGAGAGGGGCGAGGGTCAGAGGGAGAAGCAGACTCCCCGCTGAGCAGGGAGCCCGATGCAGGACTCGATCCCGGGACTCCAGGATCATGACCTGAGCCGAAGGCAGTTGCTTAACCAACTGAGCCACCCAGGCGCCCAATATAGCTTCATTTTTTTAAAGAATTTTTAAAATTTATTTATTTTTGAGAGAGAGAGAGTGCACAAGCCGGGGGAACAGCAAACAGAGGGAGAAGCACGCTCCCTGCTGAGCAAGGAGCCCGATGCAGGACACTTAATCATAGCAGACAATTCAACACGCCCCTGGCATATTCTGTATTATTATAGTAGCATACCTTTGCTCTTTCCCATTCTGTGTCTTTATATAGTCTTTCCTTAACAATCAAAGCTCAGGTCATGATCTCAATGCTGGGATCATGACCTGAGCCAAAGGCAGATGCTTAATGGACTGAGCCACCCAGGCATCCCTATAGTTTTGATTGTTAAGGAAAGACTATTTAAAGACACAGAATGGGAAAGAGCAAAGGTATGCTACTACAATAATACAGAATATGCCAGGGGCGTGTTGAATTGTCTGCTAGGTTAAAGTGTGAGGTTTACTGTTGATGCAGGATAGTTGGAAGGCAGGCAAGCAGGGACAAGTTCCCCCCACCCCAAGAGGAAACCACCCTTAAAAAGAGTTTACACCAACCTGGCAGGAGCCTTCCACCCTTTCCCATATGACAGGTGACAAAAACCTGACTGGATGACAGGTACAGGGAGGGTTAATCAGATTAAAACAGCCAGTCTCAAGAAGCCCATAAAAACCCCTAGACTTAGAAACTCTGGTGGCAACCCCCTTGGATCCCCTCCCTCCTTGGGAGCTTTTGTACTGTCACTTTGCTATCACTCAGTAAACTTCCGCTTTGTTTCCCATCACTCTTGGTCTGGTCTACCTCTTCCATTCTTTGAAGCAGTGTGACCAAGAACCATGGGCACCCACAGAGAAAAAAAATCCTGTAACACTGCGGTACTTGAAAACAGGAGTCATTGTTACAGGTTTAGACACATGTAAGATCCCCTGAACGTTTTACAGTAAGACACCTTCAGAGAACTGATGCAAAAAAAACAGTTATATTTCTGGAGACTTCTTGATCTCAAAAGGCTGCATTCTGAGGTAAAATTATATGTTCACTGCTATTTCCAGAACTTAGCATGGTAAAGTCTCACCTAGGAAGCAAGAAGTAGAATACCTCAATAATCTGCTTAGGGAAAGAATCCTAGACAAGAAGCTCCCTCCTCTCCAAACAAAATAGTAAAAACAAACAAAAAAAAACCCCAAAAGGCGAAACAAACCTACAGACGTGAGAAAGAGAATGCAAGCACCTTAAAGAAGTATGAGGGCAACCCTCTCGAGTCCCCTCCCTCTTCGGGAGCTTTGTACTATCACTCAATAAACTCTGCTTTGCTGCCCACCCAAAAAAAAAGAGGCGCCTGGGTGGTTCAGTCAGTTAAGCATCTGCCTTCGGCTCAGGTCATGATCCCAGGGTCCTGGGATCCAGCCCCGCATCGGGCTCCCTGCTCAGTGGGGAGTCTGCCTCCCACCCCTGGCCATGGTCTCTTGTGCCCACGCCCTCTCTCAAATAAATAAAATCTTTTAAAAAAAAAGAGGGTACAGGGCGCCTGGGTGGCTCAGTTGGTTAAGCGACTGCCTTCGGCTCAGGTCATGATCCCGGGGTCCCGGGATCGAGTCCCACATCGGGCTCCCTGCTCAGCAGGGAGTCTGCTTCTCCCTCTGACCCTCCTCTCTCTCATGCTGTCTCTCATTCACTCTCTCAAATAAATAAATAAAATCTTTAAAAAAAAAAAAAAAAAGAGGGTACAAGTTCAAAAGCAGACGGAAAAATTAGCCTTACCCAAGAAGTAGGTCATTTCACATTCAGAGATAGGAACAAAGGAGAAGGAAAATTTAGCCTTTACTCTATTCAGAAACAAATTATGGAAGCCTATGGGAGATGAGTAAGTAGTGATAGTGAAGGGGCAGGAGTGCAACTAGGAGCTTAAGAAGAGTGTAGAAGAATATGACCCCCACCTTTTAACACAATAGCTTCAAAAGCCTGTATGTTCTAAACTCTCAAGTTCTGAACCATTTCCTATTTTTTTTTTTAAGATTTTATTTATTTATTTGACAGAGAGAGACACAGCGAGAGAGGGAACACAAGCAGGGGGAGAGGGAGAGGGAGAAGCAGGCTCCCCGCCGAGCAGGGACCCCGATGCGGGGCTCGATCCCAGGACCCTGGATCATGACCTGAGCCGAAGGCAGACGCCCAACGACTGAGCCACCCAGGCGCCCCCCATTTCCTATTTTTACATAAAGAAATTTAACTGGAATTTTTATTGTTATTAGAATGTTTGAAACAATTTGGGAAGGACTGCCATGTTTACAATGTCTTCATATTGATGACTATAGAATATATTACTCCATTTAATCAAGTCTTATGTCAATAAAATTTTAGTTTTCTTCATGTAAGTTCTGCATATTTCTAATGAATATTCCTACAGATTTTTATATGGATATTTTGTTATTACTGCTACTCTGAAAGGGTCTTTTCAAATAGTTTATTTTCTAACTGGTTATTGTTGGGAATAGGAAAGACTGATCTTTCATACTCATCTTTATTCAATCATTTTTAAGCTCATTAATTCTACTTGTTTTTCAATAGATTCTTTTGAACAGTATAGGTTTTCAATCACATTATTTTCAAGTTATTCCTGCCTTAAAACAAAAATTAGAAGTTCCATTTATATAAAAACACTTGTGAACCAATAATAAGTTTTATTTACCTGTAGGTACTTTCAAGTTGTGTATCCAGGAAGGTGTTCTGAAAGTAAAATGTCATACATTCTCCTGCTGGAGGTTTTTCAGGAACTTCAGGCAGGCAAAAAACCACCCAGGAGTGAACTTCAGCAAAACTGAATTGGCCCGTTAAAGTCAGTGTATTCATGGGTCTGAAATTTAATGGTGGAGGTACATATTTGTATGTGGGAATACGTGGAGGTAATTTATATACACAACACATGAACAAACAGAATTCTGCAATAGTGGTTAAACAAATATAAAAGTATCCATTTAATTTTCCTCAGATTAATATTAACCATCAGATAACTAAAAATTTCAATTTCATGGAAAAAAGAATGCTTATATCTGTGCTTTTAATATTCAATTAAGTAACATAATAGCTTTACAAATAAAATTCAGTTTATCCAGGTAGACTTCATTTTTTAAAAGTTCATCTATATAAACTATAAAACGTACTTACACAAGAATTTCCTGAGGGAAAGAATCAGCATAATGTGAAGGCAAAGAATTGGGCTTTCAAGTAAAATAGACATGGAACTGAATGAAACCTTGCTCCATTATTTACCAGCTGTTTACTAACTCTGAGCCTTTGGGTAAGTTGGAGAAAAATACCTGCTATCTTGCAGGGATATGGAACAATGTTTTCTATTTTGCAAAATCACACATAGATATATGCACATATACACAAAAGGCTGTAAAATAAATAAATTTAAATAAATCAAATGGATAATTATAAACAGTTAAGAAAATGCAAAGTTTAAGGGATTAAAGAGTCAGAGGAATTTTAAGAAGATACAGAATTAAGGACTCTAAGAACTAGAAGGGACTTTTGAGATCATCCAGATCAACCCTCTCATTTGCAGATAAGAAAACTAAAACCCAAAGAGAATAAGTGCTTTCCCCAAAGCTAAAGAGGAACATTAGATAAGATACAAGATAAGAATCTTAGTCTCTTGATTCCCAGTTTGCTGTTCTTTCCAGCACACCATGCATGCTACCTCCACTAACAACTTAGACTTCAAAACAGGAAGATACCACAGAGAATCTATTCTTTCATGTTTTCCAAAAATCTTCTCTATAAATATTTTCCCTTACATCTTATTTAAATTACATATCTTTAAAATTACAAACTGCAATAGAAAAAACATGGGCTTTGGCCTCCAATCATAAATGTTTCCTGTCAGCAAGTTACTTTTCCAAGCCTCCATTTCTCATTTGTAAAATGGAGACATTACTACCTGTCTTGCTTGCTGTCAAACTTAAATGATAATGCCATGCACCTAGCACAATGTACAGCAGAGGGGAAAGTATTCAGCAATTGTTACTTCTTTCCCTTCTTCATTTAAGCCCATGGCCTCTCATCTTTAGAAAAGAAAGTGAAAAACCACCAACAGGAGGATGCTTAAGTTGGGATGGAAGTCAGAAATAAGGGACTATCACAACCAATTGCTTTACCAGTATTCCCTGCGGTGAAATAGAAAGCAAATATAATGTTTGAGGCTAATATTATAAGATCCTATTCACAGAAAAATTCATGCTAAATCCTATTTATTCATCATAGGTGTTTGGGAGAGAGAACTATTATTCTACTGATATCAGAATGGTAACATATGAGAAAGATAGGAAAGTTCAACTCAACCAACCGTTAAAAGACAAATTTTATATTAAAAATATGAATCCATACTATTTAATTTCTAAAATGTATAAATAGCTACCAGAATTTATACTATAAAAATCAAAAGCAAGTTTATTTGCATCACGTAATATCCTAAAAAATAAATTCCTTCCTCCTTTGTCCTACCTGTCATGATCAATAAAGTGAGTTCTTTGATGGAGTGAAAGGGGTTTGATAAGGTATTGGCGGACCTGACAGGTTTTAGGTTGAATCCTTGGAGTCACATATGCTTGAAGTGTGCCATACTGGCCTTCAATTGAACGAATCTGATTTAACACAAAAGAGAAAAGAAAATAAAAATAATCTAGCAGCATAACATAAATGTTATCTTTAAAATGTTCAACACAAGTAATCAAATAATTAGACTTTACTCTCTTCTCTAATATTCTGAAGTAAATGACATTCTATTAAACAACTACTTTTTACCTAGAGTAAAGAAAAATTTAAAAAGATTTTGGCTGTCAAAAGCAAACAATCTATAAAAGTTATCCCTACCACATACATTTAGGTGATTTGTCTACACTTAGCTGTGCTATGCCATTCCAAAAAACACACATTCTCACATACTACCCACCACATCTAAAAACACAGGTATATAAATATATTTCATAAGATTCACATAAAAAATGGTTAAAATTTAGACATTTTTGCTGAGGGGATAAATGACTTTTTCAAAGAACTAAAACTTAAATGGAATACTTCATTTCTCATGATATTACAGCATATAGTTATTGTTATAAAAAATCTATTCACAGAGCGGTGCCTGGTTGGTTCACTTGGTTAAGCGTCTGCCTTCATCTCAGGTCATGATCCCAGGGTTCTAGGATTGAGCCCTGTATTGGGCTCCCTGCTCAGCAAGGAGTCTGCTTCTCCCTCTGTCCCTCCCGTGCTCTGCTCTCTCTCTCAAATAAATAAAATCTTTAAAAAAAAATCTATTGACAGAAAAATGTTACCAAGAACTTAATTCTTGATTTTCTATGAAAATAGAGACATATACACCATTATTACATATTTGGATTAGGAAATTCTTTTGCGCTATTTTAAATATACCTGGTTGGATATCCTGAGAATTCAAAACACTTAACAGAAAATAATAATTCATTAAACTGTGAAGAACTAATTTTAGAGGAGTTGGAAAGTTGTCCAGCTTCTCCCTCCTGGCCCATTTTCTGCTCCTCTCAGTTCGAATTCATGAGATGGACTGTAGTACCTCTTGTATTACAATGGTAGCTTCTCTAAACTAGCTGATATTTTATTTCAAACTTTTCTTAGCATGTTGCGGGAGGGGGGGAAATCAATGTTTTACCTAAATTGGAAACATAAATAAAAGTTTAAAGTAAGGTTTTCTGCAGATGTTACACTTCCAATATTGCTCTAAATGGAAAGAGGAAAGATAAAAATAAAAAATAAAAAATACATCTGATACAGCTATATTTTAGGGTTTCTTTTTAAAGGTAAGTTTACACTGGCACATAATTTTTTCCACAATAAAAAGTCATACTGCTTTCTTTGATTATATAACAATTCATATTCATTATTAAAAAATATAAAGAAAAATTAGGATGAACATATAAGTCACCTAAAATCCTGCCACCCAGAGATGATCATTAGTGCTATTTTGGTAGTTATGCCTTCATACATTTTTCTATGCAGATGTACAAAAACAAAAGCATAATTTCATATGAATAAATAGTATTTATATCATAGATATCTTTGTTTTTATTTCTAATAATCACTTTTTTCCTTTATCTTTGTCTCTCCTAAGGCCATCACCTCCCACCCACTCCCATCCCACCCATGCTTTCCCCCTATTGCATAATCTATCATACCAGACAGGTGTATTTCTTTTCATATCTTTCTTATATATATAGGGATTTTATCCACATTTTGTTTTTCATGGAATTCACTCCATGTTAACAGGAATAGATCAATGAATTCTTAATTGCAGCTGTGCTATATTCTATGGAATGTATAAACAGCTATTTATTCAACCATTCAATTGTTAAATATTTACTTTGGTTCCACTTTTCTGCCTCTACAAACAATGCTGCAGTTAAATACATATCTGTGTGTATAATACTGTGATTTTATTGCTGTAAAATAGATTCCTCCAGATGGGACTATTGCCTATTTTTCCGAAGTGGCTATTACAATTTTTATTTTCTTGAGCTACGATTGAGAATGTCCTTTTTCTCAACCCTGCCATCTGGTGATGTTGCTTTTTAAAACCTTTTGCCAATCTGTTAGATCCAGAAAATGTTTTTTGCTTATTTTAATTTGAATTTCCCTAACTAATAATAGGATAGAACATTTTCTTTTAATATTTGTTAGCTATTTTGACTCCTTGTGTGAACTGTCTATCCATATTCTTTGCCTATTTTCCTTACTGGGTAGTCTTTTTTTTTTATTTTTTAGCAAGTTATAGGCAGTCTTTGTATTTTATTGATATTTACCCATTACCTAGAAGACAACTAAATTTCCTTCTTTTTAAAAATAATTAGGTACTTAACTCATCTAAATTTATTTTTTTATATATGACATTAAGATAAGAACCCACTTAATTTTTTTTCAGATAGATGCCAATTGTGTCAACACCAATTTTTAAATAGACAGTAATTTAATAGAATTTTTTTTTTAAAGATTTTATTTATTTACTTGACAGAGAGAGACACAGCGAGAGAGGGAACACAAGGAGGGGCAGAGGGAGAGGGAGAAGCAGGCTTCCCGCCGAGCAGGGAGCCCGATGTGGGGCTCAATCCCAGGACCCTAGGATCATGACCTGAGACGAAGGCTGATGCTTAACGACTGAGCCACCCAGGCGCCCCAATAGAATTTTTTTCTACATAAAAATGCCATCCATTAAATTTCCATAAATGTGTAGTGGGCTCTATTTCTAGAGTATTCTGTTGCACTGCCTATTTACTTAGGCCCTGTAAATACCCTACATTATTTTTATTATAGTAGTTTTATGGTAGGTTTTACCATATGGCAAGATAAGTTCCACCTTTTTCTTCTTTTTCAGTAGTTTTCTCACATCTATTATTGCATCCAATTTTTTAAAAAAACACAGCTTTTTAATATTTTTAGGCCTACTTCCCAATTTATTGGCACAGTCTTGTTCAGTGGAAATGTAATTTAAAATGCTTAATTGAGTTACATAAAATATGTTTAAGTATATTCCTTTAGAAAAAAATTTATTCCAGTTTTCAATTTTTCTTTCAAAATACACAAAAGGGAACTTATGCAGACTAAAATAAATTGTTTAGAAAAAAACCTACATTTAACTGGCATTTCCTTAACTAGATGTGAAAAAGTTATTATGTTAACAGCATCTCTCTTGAAAAAAACAGGCTTTGAGTCTGAACATCAGGAACACTGTGAAAAAAGTTATAGTCCCTAATAACCTCACACAAATTAAGTAAGTAAAATAGATTTGTGTGATACAATAAGTATTTAATTATTAGGGAGATCACATTACTAAATTGCTAAAGAAAACATTAAAAGATTTTCTCTAGGATAGATGATAATAAATGACATTATTGGAAATCTGAGTGGTAGGAAAATATAGGGCAAATACTCAGATACTTCAATAACCAAATTATGGACAATGACTGGATCAAACGAACTGTAGAAACAAATCAGTGAAATCTAAATACTAAATATTTGATGATACTAAGGAGTTACTGTTAATTTTCCTTAGGTGTGATAGTAGTATTGTGGTTATGTTTTAACAAACAGTTCTTATCTTTTGGATATATATACAGAAATATTTACAAATGAAATTATAAAATATCTTATACTTGCTTCAAAATAATTTGGAATGGACAGTGACAGTATAAACAAGAATGCCATGAGATGACTGTTGAAACTGAAGTCATTACCTTTACGTAGGTTTGAAACTTTCCATAATAGAGGATTAGAAAAAAAATTCCACTTAGAGGAAATTCAGGATGGATAATTTTAGAGAAGCCAATAGCAGACATAATGGTTGGGGCTGAGTTAAAACCTAACTCGTCATCCAAAAATCATTACTCCAAATGACTCATTTCAGGGAGAAAATAATACAAAGAAATGATATCATATGTTGTAAGATATGCCAAGGGGAAGAGAAGTTCAAGCTTTCAATTAAAGGTAATTTCAAATGTTTTTACCTTGAGTTCCAGCCTTGTAGTATTTGCCTGGCACCGGTAAGTAGCGAGAAGAAAGTTGTCATTTGACTGGGAAGAATTCAAAGTTGAAGAAAAAGGATGAATTCACGTTTTTAATAATAAAAACATCAGTAATAATAATGCTTACCATTTACTAAGCACATATCATTTGTGTGACACTGTGATGTGCTTTTTTTATTCTTGCAAACAACCCTATGTGAAGTTTTACTAAGTAAGTTTTAACAGACAAAGAAACTGCAGCATTACAAGTTAGGAAAACTTCCCAAAAGCTAGTAAGTAATGAAATTGGAATTCAAATTCATATCTTTTAAGATTCTAAAGCTCACGCTCTTTCCATCCTGAGCTTCTGCAATAACATTTAAATATTAATTTTCCTAAAAATTTAACTGACAGCACACACTCCTAATGTTTATATTAAAAGACAAAAACATCAGTGTTTGGTGTTGACAGTCTTTGACTTTCACAAATACTTTTAGAGGACTAAGAAATATCTCCTCTCTGTATTTCCAGCAAATAGCACAGTGCCTGGGATGATACTGTAAGCATTCAATACATGCTTGTTAAATTAAAATTGGAGAGGTTACTTCAAATATTATAACTTCCTGAACCTGAATATTAAACTATTAAAAACAGAGAAATAATCTGTGTGCAGGAATTACAAAAACAAATCAACTTGAAATATTTAGTATTCAGTGTTCATGTACTGCTATTTCCCTATTTTTAAAAAATAACTGAAGAAATAAAAAAGATGATAACAAAAAGAAAATTTGAGCATTTTAATTTCAAATCATTTAAATTTAATAAACACAGAATATCAGTCAACCTAAAAATAAATATGCTTTAATGTGATTAAAAACAAATGTTATATACTTAAGTATTTATGGATAGGATGATAAAGATTAAAATACATGAAAGTTCTGGGATTAGGTTTGGGATGGGAGAAGGAGAAGAGCATAAAACAAGACTGGTCATATGTTGAAGTTAATGATGGGTACATGTAGGTTATTATACTACTGTTTCTACTTCTATATATACTTGAAATCTTCATAACAAGGTTGTTTTAAAGCCATCATTCTGGAAAATTGATTTTAAATTAATATAAAATACTCATTTCAAAGAATCCTGCAATGATGTAAATAAAATAGGTTAATCTTTCATAGCAACTAAGAAATTAAAATTTTAAGATCAACTTGATATTTTAAATGAAAATTAAAATGTAGGCCCTAATCTTTGTTTTATTCTCAAACAGGGATGACAAATCATATATATGACATAATACAACTTATAAAATCTCTTATCAAAAAAAGTTTTACTATAAAATTATACTGAAAACTATTCCCTAATATAGCTATCAACTTTGTTCTTCATCTATTCTTTTTATTCCTCCCTTTTTATGTGCATAACTACCTGCCAACTTTAGTCACCATCTCCTGCTCTGGCTTGCCTTCTTCAACACAACTACTCCAGACCTTATCTTTACCCTAACTTCTCTTCAGGAGCCACACTTAGCTCTGAGAATGCTAGTCAGCTAGTACTAAGCAGAAAGAAGTGATATAGTAAGCATATCCAAAACCTCTGACACACTCTCATCCAAGGTACTTTGCACATGGTAAGTATTCAACAAATGTCTACTAAATAAAGGTTAAGCAAGATTCAACAAGCCCAGAAAAGGTGAAAAAGAACAGGCAGAAAGGAACAGACCATGTTCAAATGTAGGATGTGTGAAACTATACAGCATTTTCAAGAAATTTTAAGAACTTCAGTTTGGCAGAAATAATGTGCATGGGAGGGAAGGTAGCAGCTGGTAAGAGATAAGCTAGAGATATAATCAAGAGCTGAATCCTAGAAAGTTGTTATGCCACAATGAGAAATCTAGACTTATATGCAGCAGGGAATAAGGAATCTTTAAAAGGTTTTGAGAGAAGAAATGACAGAGAGATGTTTATACTTTAGGAAGATCTCTCTGGTGGCAGTGTACAGCAGAGCCTAGAGGTGAGAGGCAATACTGGAGGCAAAAAAACTGGTGACGAGTAGTTCAAGCAAACATGAAAAGGGCCTGGAAAATTAACAGAAGTGGAAATGAGGGGGCGCCTGGGTGGCTCAGTCCATTAAGAGTTTGCCTTCGGCTCACGTCATGATCTCGGGGTCCTGGGATGGAGCCCTGCATCATCGGGCTCTCTGCTCAGTAGGGAGTCTTTGCTTCTCCCTCTGCCTCTATCCCTTCACTTGCTTATGTTCTCTCTCTCTCTCTCTCTCAAATAAATAAATAAAATCTTAAACAATAATAAAAATAAAATAAAATAAAATAAAATAAGTAGAAATGAAGCAGAGGAAAGATATAAGGGCCAAGGAGATAGAACTGGCAGAAACTAGTGACTAATTGGATTTAACAGATCAGAGAAAGGAAGGAATCTAGGATAACATCCCAGGATTCTGGATTATCTGAAAACAGGGAAAAAGAGCAGAAGCAGATTTTCAGGGAAAGGTTATGAAAAAGAGATAAAAGAAGAAACATCAAACCCTAGTAGCATTTATAGACTTTATTCAAAATGGCATAATAGAAAAAGTATCTGAAAAGTTGTTTATACATTCTACTCACCTCAGAATCACAGCTGCTAAAGCTGACAACAGCAGAATTTTTATCCACATCAAGTAAATCTATTGGAACATCACTCTATAGGCAATATTAAAAAAAAAAATGGTTCAGATGGGAAACTAAAAATTTTCACAAAACATTATTTTCTCTTAAAGATTTTATTTATTTGAGAGAAAGAGAGAGCACGAGAGCAGGGTGAGGGGTAGAGGGAGAGGGAGAAGCAGGCTCCCCGCTGAGCAGGGAGCCCGATGCAGGACTCAATCCCAGGACCCTGGGATCACGACCTGAGCCAAAGGCAGACAATTAACCAACTGAGCCACTCAGGCACCCAACAAAACATTTTCTTTAAGGGTTCTCTTTAGTTCTAGTTCACAGTCATCTTTAAATTTGAACATATGAATTCTCAGTTTATATTTGATAATATGTACTTCTAGAAAATAAATGCAATAAAGAATAAATGGTATATCACAATGACTTAATTTTTTTCAAATTTTATCAGAGATCACAGACTATCATCTCTCACCAGCCCCCTTAAAGTATAATCTTCCTAATATGGCCATTCTGATTATATCAGTTCATTTTTATCAATTTTATTTTCACCTGTAACACAGAAAGGAGATAATTTTTATCTCCTGGAGAGGTAGTTTCTAGGAAACAGCTGTTGCACCCAGTTCTATGTAAATGATGGTCCTAGAGTTATTAAATGCAGCTTTTTTATTGTTATGTTAATCACCATACATTACATCATTAGTTTCTGATGTAGTGTTCCATGATTCATTGTTTGTGTATAACACCCAGTGCTCCATTCAGTACGTGCCCTCTTTAATACCCATCACCAGGCTAACCCATCCCTCCAGCCCCTCCCCTCTAGAACCCTCAGTTTGTTTCTCAGAGTCCATGGTCTATCATGGTTCGTCTTCCCCTCCAATATCTCCCCCTTCATTTTTCCCTTCCTACTAACTTCTTTTTCATGTTTTTTTTTTTTAACATAAAATGTATTTGTTTCAGAGGTACAGGTCTGTGATTCATCATTCTTACACAATTCACAGCACTCACCACAGCACATACCCTCTCCAATGTCTATCACCCAGCCACCCCATCCCTCCCACCCCCCACCACTGCAGCAACCCTGATTGTTTCCTGAGATTAAGAATTCCTCATATCAGTGAGGTCATATGATACATGTCTTTCTCTGATTGACTTATTTCGCTCACCATAATACCCTCCAGTTCCATTCACGTTGTTGCAAATGGCAAGATTTCATTCTTATTGATGGCTGCATAATATTCCATTGTGTGTATATATATATATATATATATATATACACACCACTTCTTTATCCATTCATCTGTCAACGGACATCTTGGCTCTTTCCATAGTTTGGCTATTGTGGACATTACTGCTATAAACATCAGAGTGCATGTACCCTTCAGATCACTACATTTGTATCTTTGGGGTAAATACCCAGTAGTGCAATCCTGGGTCATATGGTAGCTCTATTTTCAACTTTTTGAGGAAATTCCATACTCTTTTCCAGAGTCGCTGCACCAGCTTGCATTCCCACCAACAGTGTAGGAGGGTTCCCCTTTCTCCACATCCCTGCCAGCATCTGTCGTTTCCTGACTTGTTAATTTTAGCCATTCTGACTGGTGTGAGGTGGTATCTCAGTGAGGTTTTGATTTGGATTTCCCTGATGTCGAGTGATGTTGAGCACTTTTTCATGTGTCTGTTGGCCATTTGGATGTCTTCTTTGGAAAAATGTCTCTTCATGCCTTCTGCCCATTTCTTGATTGGATGATTAGCTCTTTGGGTGTTGAGTTTACTAAGTTCTTTATAATTTTGGATACTAGCCCTTTATCTATGTCATCTGCAAATATCTTCTCCCATTCTGTCAGTTGTCTTTTAGTTTTGTTGACTGTTTCTTTTGCTGTGCAAAAGCTTTTTATCCTGATGAAGTCCCAATAGTTCATTTTTGCCCTTGCTTCCCTTGCCTTTGGTGATGTTTCTTGTAAGAGGTTGCTGTGGCTGAGGTTGAAGAGGTTGCTGCCTGTGTTCTCCTTTAGAATTTTGATGGACTCCTGTCTCACATTGAGGTCTTTCAACCATTTTGAGTTTATTTTCGTGTGAGGTGTAAGGAAATGGTCCAGTTTCATTCTTCTGCATGTGGTTGTCCAATTTTCCCAACACCATTTCTTGAAGAGACTTTTTTCCATTAGACATTCTTTCCGGCTTTGTCGAAGATTAGTTGACCATAGAGGTGAGGGTCCATTTAGGGGTTCTCTGTTTTGTTCCCTTGATCTATGTGTCTGTTTTTGTACCAGTACCATACTGTCTTGATGATTACAGCTTTGTAATAGAGCTGGAAGTCCGGAATTGTGATGCCACCAGCTTTGCTTTGCTTTTTCAACATTCCTCCGGCTATTCAGGGTCTTCTCTGGTTCCATACAAATTTTAGGATTATTTGTTCCATTTCTTTGAAAAAAGTTGATGGTATTTTGATAGGGATTGCATTAAATGTGTAGACTGCTCTAGGTAGCATTGACATCTTCACAATATTTGTTCTTCCAATCCATGAGCATGGAACGTTTTTCCATTTCTTTGTGTCTTCCTCAATTTCTTTCATGAGTATTCTATAGTTTTCTGAGTACAGATTCTTTGCCTCTTTGGTTAGATTTATTCCTAGATATCTTATGGTTTTGGGTGCAATTGTAAATGGGATCGACTCCATTTCTGTCTTCTGTCTTGTTGTTGGTGTATAGGAATGCCACTAATTTCTGTGCATTGATTTTATATCCTGCCACTTTACTGAATTCCTGTAGGAGTTCTAGCAGTTTTGGGGTGGAGTCTTTTGGGTTTTCCACATAAAATATCATATCATCTGCAAAGAGTGAGAGTTTGACTTCTTCTTTGCTGATTCGGATGCCTTTCATTTCTTTTTGTTGTCTGATTGCTGTGGCTAGGACTTCTAATACTATGTTGAATAGCAGTGGTGATAGTGGACATCCCTGCCATGTTCCTGACCTTAGGGGGAAAGCTCTCAGTTTTTCCCCATTGAGAATGATATTCACTGTGGGTTTTTCATAGATGGCTTTTATCTTATTGAGGTATGTACCTTCTATCCCTATACTCTGAAGAGTTTTGATCAAGAAAGGATGCTGTACTTTGTCAAATGCTTTTTCTGCATCTAGTGAAAGGATCATATGGTTCTTGTTCTTTCTTTTATTAATGTATTGCATCACATTGATTGATTTGCGGATGTTGAACCAACCTTGCAGCCCAGGAATAAATCCCACTTGGTCGTGCTGAATAATCCTTTTAATGTACTGTTGGATCCTATTGGCTAGTATTTTGGTGAGAATTTTTGCATCCATGTTCATCAGGGATATTGGTCTGTAATTCTCCTTTTTGATGGGGTCTTTGTCTGGTTTTGGGATCAAGGTAATGGTGGCCTCATAAAATGAGTTTGGAAGTTTTCCTTCCATTTCCATTTTTTGGAACAGTTTCAGAAGAATAGGTATTAATTCTTCTTTAAATGTTTGGTAGAATTCCCCTGGGAAGCTATCTGGCCCTGGGCTCTTGTTTGTTGGGAGATTTCTGATGACTGCTTCAATTTCCTAGTGGTTATGGGTCTGTTCAGGTTTTCTATTTCTTCCTGGCTCAGTTTTGGTAGTTGATACATCTCTAGGAACGCATCCATTTCTTCCAGATTATCCAATTTGCTGGCATATAGTTGCTCATATGTTTTTATAATTGTATTTCTTTGGTGTTGGTGGTGATCTCTCCTCTTTCATTCATGATTTTACTTATTTGGGTCATTTCTCTTTTCTTCTTGATAAGTCTGGCCAGGGGTTTATCAATCTTATTAATTGTTTCAAAGAACCAGCTCCTAGTTTCATTGATCTGTTCTACTGTTCTTTTGGTTTCTATTTCATTGATTTCTACTCTGATTTTTTTTTTTAAGATTTTTATTTGAGACAGAGAGAGAGAGAGGCAGAGGGAGACGCAGGCTCCCAAGGAGCAAGGAGCCCGATGCAGGACTTGATTCCCGGACCCTGGGATCATGACCTGAACCAAAGGCAGATGCTTAACCATCTGAGCCACCGAGGCACCCTCTGCTCTGATCTTTATTATTGCTCTTCTCCTGCTGGGTTTAGGCTTTATTTGCTGTTCTTTCTCCAACTCCTTTAGGTGTAGGGTTAGGTTGTGTATTTGAGACCTTTCTTGTTTCTTGAGAAAGGCTTGTATTGCTATATACTCTCCTCGTAGGACTGCCTTTGCTGCAACCCAAAGATTTTGAACAGTTGTTTTTGTTTTCATTTGTTTCCATGAATTTTTTAAATTCTTCTTTAACTTCCTAGTTGGCCCATTCATTCTTCAGTAGGATGCTCTTTAGCCTCCATGTATTTGAGTTCTTTCTGACTTTCCTCTTGTGATTGAGTTCTAGTTTCAAAGCCTTGTGGTCCGAAAATATGCAGGGAGTGATCCCGATCTTTTGGTAGTGGTTGAGACCTGATTTGTGACCTAGGATGTGATCTATTCTGGAGAATGTTCCATGGGCACTAGAGAAGAATGTGTATTCTGTTGCTTTGGGATGGAATGTTCTGAATATATCTGTGAAGTCCACTTGGTCCAGTTGTCACTTAAAGTCTTTATTTCCTTGTTGATCCTTTGCTTAGATGATCTGTCCATTTCAGTGAGGGGGGGTGTTAAAGTCGCCTACTATTATTGTATTGTTGTCGATGTGTTTCTTTGCTTTTGTTATTAATTGGTCTATATAATTGGCTGCTCCCATAAATATTTACAACTGTTAGATCTTCTTCTTGAATAGACACTTTAAGTATGATATAGTGTCCTTCCTCATCTCTTATTATAGTCTTTGGTTTAAAATCTAATTTGTCCGATATAAGGATTGCCACCCCTGCTTTCTTATGGTGTCATTAGCATGGCAAATGGTTTTCCACTTTCAATCTGGAGGTGACTTTGGGTCTAAAATGAGTCTCTTGCAGACAGCATATCGATGGGTCTTGTTTTTTTATCCAATCTGATACCCACCCTGTATCTTTTGGTTGGGACATTTAGCCCATTTACATTCAGGGTAACTATTGAAAGATATGAATTTAGTGTCATTGTATTGCGTGTAAAGTGACTGTTACTGTGTATTGTCTGTGTTCCTTTCTGGTCTATGTTACTTTTAGGCTCTCTCTTTGCTTAGAGGACCTTTTCAATACTTCTTGCAAGGCTGGTTTCATGTTTGCAAATTCCTTTAGTTTTTGTTTGTCCTGGAAGCTTTTTATCGCTCCTTCTATTTTCAAAGACAGCCTAGCTGGATATAGTATTCTTGGTGGCATATTTTTCTCATTTAGTGCTCTGAATATATCATGCCAGTCCTTTCTGGCCTGCCAGGTCTCTGTGGATAGGTCTGTTGTCAATCTAATGTTTCTACCATTGTAGGTTACAGATCTCTTGTCCCAAGTTGCTTTCAGAATTTTCTCTTTGTCTCTGAGACTCGTTTTACTATTAGATGTCAGGGTGTTGACCTATTTTTATTGATTTTGAGGGGGGTTCTCTGTGCGTCCTGGATTTTGATGCTTGTTTCCTTCCCCAAATTAGGGAAGCTCTCTGCTATAATTTGCTCCAATATACCTTTTGCCCCTCTCTCTCTTTCTTCTTGTGGGATCCCAATTATTCTAATATTGTTTCATCTTATGGTATAACTTACCTCTCGAATTCTGCCCTTGTGATCCAGTAGTTGTTTATCTCTCTTTTTCTCAGCTTCTTTATTTTCCATCATTTGGTCTTCTGTATCACTAATTCTCTCTTCTGCCTCATTTATCCTAGCAGTTAGAGTCTCCATTTTTGATTGTACCTCATTAATAGCCTTTTTGATTTCGACTTGGTTAGATTTTAGTTCTTTTATTTCACCAGAAAGGGCTTCTCTAATACCTTCCATGCTTTTTCAAGCCCAGCTAGTATCTCTATAATTGTCATTCTCAACTCTAGTTCTGACATCTTACTAATGTCCATATTGATTAGGTCCCTGGCAGTCGGTACTGCCTCTTGTTCTTTTTTTTGAGGTGATTTTTTTTCCATCTTGTCATTTTGTCCAGAGGAGAACAGATCAATGACAGAACAAAATGCTAACAGGGTAACAATGACCACAGAAAAACATACACTAAACAAATCAGAAGAGACCGGAAACTGGGGGAAAAGAAAGGGAAAGAAAGAAAAAAGAAAAAAAAAGGAAAAGATAAAAAAAAAGAATATGACCAAATATGATCAGGTTGGTGACTAGATCAATGCCACACACTAGATTTTGGGAATATTTTGGTCTGTTAGAAGAAACTGCCTCCCAAAATTTTAAAGAAAGAAAAGCTTATATATGTACAAAAATGAGGGTAAAAACAACAAAAGGATGGAATATGACCGTAAAGATGAAAATTATAAACGATTTTATAAAAGGAATTGATAAGAAGTTGGTTGAAAAAAGAAAGAAGAGAAATTAAAAAAAAGGAGAGGGGAGAATGTGATCAGGCAGGAGACTAGAACAAAGCCATACACTAGAGATTTAGGGTATATTTTGATCTGTTAGAATAAACTGTATCCCAAAATTTTAAAGAGAGAACAACTTATATATATACCAAAAATAAGGTTAACTACTATGAAGGGACAGAATATGACTCTAAAAATGAAAAATAAAAAAGATTTTTAAAAAAGGGATTGAAAAGATGTTGGTTGAAAAAGGGAAAAAGAAAGATTCAAAATAAAAGAAAAGAAAGAAAACTTAAAAATTAACTTTGAAAGACTAAAGAATCATGGGGAAAAAGCCACAAATTCTATGTGCAGTATTTCCCTAACGCTGGAGTTCTGCTGTTCTCATTGATTGATAAACTTGGTCTTGGCTGGCAGTTCTTGCTGATCTTCTGGGGGAGGGGCCTGTTGCGGTGGTTCCCAAATGTCTTCGCCGAAGTTGGAATTGCCCCGCCCTTGCCGGGTCTGGCCTAAGTAATCTGCTCGGGTTTGCTCTCGGGAGCTTTTGTTCCCTGCAAGCTTTCCATACAGCTTTGGAGGATGAGAATGAAAATGGCGGCCTCCCAATTTCCACCCCGGAGGAGCCGAGAACTCGGGGTCCCACTCCTCAGTGAGCCCCCAGAGAAAAGCAGTAAGTCACTCTCATCTCCCCAGTCTCCGGCCGCACTCCGTGTTCACCCGGCCTGTGTCGGAGCGTTTCTATCTCTGGCACTCGACCCCGTGTGGAGTCTCCAAACCCAGCAGATCCCTGCGGTGCGCTCCCATGCCGCTCTTCCCGTGGGAGAAAGGGGAGTCTCCCTGGATCTGCCACTTGTTGGGTCCCTGCTGAAGGAGCAGTGGCCCGACTGTGCGGCGGATCACGGTTTATGGCAACCCCGAGCTGAGATCCCACGCCTCGGCTCCGTCTCTGCAGCCGGCTTCCCTGCTCCGATACCTGGGAGCTCTGCTGCACTCAGGCACCCCCGGTCTTTCTGTGACCCCAAGGGTTCTGAGACCACACTGTCCCCGCGAGGGTTCCACCCCCAGTTTAGCCACTGGAGCAATGTCCCTCAGCGGAGCCGACTTCTAAAAGTTCCGATTTTGTGCTCCGCGGCTCTATCACTTGCCAGTAGCGGCTGACGGAGGCCCCCTTGCCCGCTGTCTGTCTTCCCGAATATTGCCTCGGATTCACTTCTCCGCACGTCCTACCTTCCAGAAACTGGTCGCTTTTCTGTTCAGAGAGTTGCTATTCTTTTCTTCGATCTCCTGTTGAGTTCATAGGTGTTCAGAATGGTTTGATACCTAAATAGCTGATTTCCTGGGACCAGACAAAATTTAGGTCTCCTACTCCTCTGCCATCTTGCTCCTCCTCCCTTAACTGCAGCTCTTAAGCTAGCATTACTTAAGACAGATTTCAGCCTTTACTTTTTAATTAATAATCTGATCTCTCCCCCACATCTTTTTAAACCTTGTCTTCTTCCTCATCTTTATTCTTTTCTCATTATCTGATAGGTTTTCCATCTTTTGTTTTCCATTCATCCTACTATCATCCTTTTCCACTCCCTGAATATCATCCAATTTAAAGAAAACTAATTAAATATATTCTTGAATGGAGTTGTATATTATTATCCCTAAATTTCACCCTTTGTCCTTACCCACTTTGCCTACTGACCTACCTAGAAACTGATAGCTAATGAGCAAGCTGTACCATTTTAGAATCTGGAGTTTATAAAAAGATTCTTTTTTTTTTTTAAAGATTTTATTTATTTGACAGAGAGATAGAGAACACAAGTAGGCCGGGTGGCAGGCAGAGGCAGAAGGAGAAGCAGGCTCTCTGCTGAGCAGGGAGCCGGACGTGGGGCTCGATCCCAGGACCCTGGGATCATGACCTAAGCCGAAGGCAGCCACTTAACTGACTGAGCCACCCAGGCACCCCTTAAAAAAAGATTCTAACAAGGGCACTGAATACTGTAGTTTTCTGTCACATCTCTTCAAATTTTCTTAAAGGTCAACCAAAGAACAAAACCCTTAACTTCTTTCTGATGTTTCCTAAAACTTAAGTCCATGAGTCTTTTGTTTAATACTTATAGTATAAATAAAAAGTAAATAAAAAAGATTTAATCCAGGTAATCTATGAGCAATTGATTATCTAATGGAAAATTAAGATAGGCCTTTAAATTTATCTAAACTAAATGCAACATTTAAAAGATAAACACTTAAAGGGGCATCTGCATGGCTCAGTCATTAAGCGTCTGCCTTTGGCTCAGATCATGATCCCAGGGTCCTGGACTGGAGCCCAGCGTTTGGCTCCCTGCTCAGTGGGGAGTCTGCTCCTCTCTCTCCCTCTGCCTGCCCCTCCCCCATTGGTGTGCTCTCTCTCTCCCTCTCTCTCTCAAATAAATCTTGAAAAAAAATTTAAAAAAAGATAAACAATTACTGTCTAAAATTAAAAGTGTTCAATAATAATTAGTGTATATGACTGATCTGCAAAATAGATCCAATCACAAAACAAATAAATTAGACATTTTGCTTACCTGTATTAAGACATTATCTATCGCAGTCTGTACCTCTAAGATGAGACTGTAGCTGGCATCATCTTTATTTAATGTAAACTTATCATTTACACTAAACGAAGGTACTGCTGATTTTGCTTTGCTTGATTGAGAAGACTGTTGATATTTCTCTCTTTCCTGTACTACCTTATACTGCAGATGTTCCAGCTCACTCCTAGAGGAAAATATATACAACTCTGTCACCTACAAGTATACACATTTGAAGTCCTTAGAATGATTACAAGAATTTGAGACATTAACTTCTGCAAAATGGATTTTTATTAGGTGAACTAGAACTATGACACTAATAGGAGCAAAATTTTGTTTCTGACTGGCCAAACAATTCCACATTATTTATCTCTAATCTAAAAATTAAAACTCAGTTCCATACCAGCAATATTAATAAAGAGTTGTAAGTATCAAAGCAGGTTGCAAATAATCAATTCTAACACACAAATCTAGTTACAGTTACATATAATACTAATCAGAAGAGAAACTGATTGTACTGGGGCTGAGAAACAGATTTAGTTTGAAGAAACAAAATGTGTAAATATGTACCTTTCAATCAAAATTAGGTGAGACAGACAAAGGAAGGAGGCTGCAGAGTATTCACATTTTGGGGACCATAGGATGATCATGAGCCAGTGGTACAGCAGAAGTTCTATTAAGTGTTGAAGAGGATTTTGCTTAGATTGAACTGTACAGGCATTGCTTCATTGCTTAGAGTCACTCCAGTTAAAGGGAAAACCGATATGCAAATGAAGCAAATAGTAACTGAGAAACAACAACATGAGGCTTCACCAGCCCCAACTTAGGGGGAAAAGTCTGGGAAGAGCTTGGAAGAGATTTGTGCAATAAACAAAGGAAAAGATTCGTCCAAGAAATATTTACTGAATGCTTCATATGTACCTATGTTGTAGGTACTGAATGAACAAAACAGACATAAGTTTCTCATCCCATATTCCACCGGAATCAGGAGGGATGGACTGGGTTATAAATGTACGATATTATACTGAGGATGTGAGATAGTAGACATTGACTCTACTTGGTTTCTTTGTTGCATGAAAGTTGGAGCTTGCTCTCCAGGTGGCTTTGCTAAACTGGCTTGTAGTAAACTTGTTTGGCTTTAGTGAATTATTACTTGTGGCATTTTACTGCCTTAAAAACTTCTGTAGCCCTCAACCAAAAACAGATTGGCCGTCACTGCCCCAAGAAGTTGGCAAGGGTTGAAGTAGGGAGAGCAGTCATTAAAAATTTTAGCAACTTGCACTTCTTCATTATATGAAGCAATTTTACTTGAGTCTGGGGCCCCTTTTCATAGGACTTGTCAAACTGAATAGGCCACAGAAGCAATCCCCGTGTCTAAAGGAATCAACATTACTCATTTCCAGTAAGAAAACCGATAAGCCAAAGTTAAAGATTCAGAAGGGTCTATAGGAGCAGCAAACATTACAATTAATGAGGAACACAGCATCTATGTTGGTTTCTTTCTAATGCCTGTGAAAAAACAAAACATTACAACTATCTGTAACTAAACAAATGAAAATATGATCTAAGAAAAAGTCAGTATAGAGTAAAGCATATAAAAGTATATTTCTAACTTTGAAATAACTAATTAGCACTTACTGCTAATTTTCTCAAACTGATAAACTTTCATTTAAAAAGGTGATAAATGAATTAAAAGGTATAGTTCCTTCCAATATTCTGCTTCTATTAGTAATAAAAAAAAACCCCCACACTTCATGAAATGAAAAAAAAAGCAAACAAAAAAATCCAAGATTACCTTAAAGAAGAAATTTTATTCTGCATCTCCTGATTAATTTTCAGTTCTTCTCCCGGTCCACTTTCCTTATGTACAGGCTCTGTTGTCAGACCTGTAACCCAGCCTGTAGAGATGAAATTACTTAATCATGCACCACTTAGTGCTGCTAGTGTTAAAAAAAACCCCCAATTGTTACATGCCCCTGTGTCCACCAACAGCAAGCTCATTTAGTCTAGGACTTATTCTCCTTCAAAAAACAAAACAAAACAAAAAACAAAAGAAATCAAGTTGGAAAATATTCAAACCATAAAGAAGAAATTACTTAGGCATTTTGTAATACTATTTTTATTTTGCCTGAAACACTATAATACTATGATTAAGGAAATCTTTCACTTATTACAGTTTTAGTTTTCAAGTATGGAATAAGTCAACACATTCTAGCAAATACCTGATGAATTAAAACAGTCTTTCAAATATCATTTTCATGGAAAATTAAATTCTCACACCGGCTATTTTGAGAATGCAAAAATGACCATCTCAAAAGCAAGGAAACTTTTATAAGAAAAGTACACAATAACAAAACTAAATTTCAGTAAATACTTCTTTTTAAAACAAAGAATATAAATTAATTTTCAAAGATACTAGAGCATGCTAAGTACTCTTAACAAGTATTATTCAAATATTAACTGTTTTATAAATCAATACACCCACTCCTTCCCTCATTTTTTAATCAATAAAGGTTTAATGATATAGGTAAGATTTACTAATAACACTTTTTTAAAAAAGTAGTCATCAAAACTAATTTATTAAATGTTAAGTTTTTTCTTATTCATTCTTTCTTTACTTACTACCGTTTACTTTACCTGAATATGTGGATACCACAATTTCATCATAGCCATCTTTCCCTATACAACCACCCTGGATAGATGTGACACTTTCAGACAACATCTAAAATCAATTTAAGATCAAGCACTTCATTAATAACTAAAAAATTCACATATTAAAATAAGCCATAAAACTTATTTTCCCATTTCCCGACATTCAAAACATACATTTATTGAATACTTACCATGTGGAAACAATGAGATTAGAAGGCAAAAATCCTGCACAAACGGCAGAAAATTCCAGTGCTTTTAAATTTGGGGAAAGAATATTGAAAATGACTCATATATTTGTGTGTTGCACTTAGCCTCATCAGTCACCTAATGAGCAAAAATCATTTATTTATATAAAGAAGTTTTTTGCTTTTTGTTTTTGAAGATTTATTTATTTTAGAGAGAGAGAGAGGGAGACTGTGTGCATGAGCGCATGTGCATGGCATAAGGAGGGCAGAGGGAGATGGAGAGAGAAACTTAAGTAGACTCTCCCTTGAGCCCGGAGCCCGAGGTGTGGCTCGGTTCCATGACCCTGGGATCATGACCTGAGAGGAAACCAAGAGTTGGACACTCAACCAACTGTGCCACCCAGGCATCCCACGAAAGAAGCTTTTTTAAAAAGTTACATAAGCAAAACTCCCAATATGTTTAGTCTATCTGAATTCCATATACCATCTCTGTGTTTTTCCCAAATAGTTTTTTTAATGAATAAAGAAGATAGCCTATATGAAACCTTTAGAGAATTTTTATCCCCATATTATCTATGTAATATACTTTCTCTATACATCAAAACATCTGTATTTGCTGATCTGTAGTTAAAGCTGGAACTGAGAGGTAGCACTAGCACAGAAATTAGACAAAGAAAAGTTAGCTGATACTGAGTTGTGGTTTTTTTGTTGTTGTTTTTTAAAACAGCCTCAATGAATCCTGCCTGAGGCAGGATGGGAAACCGTGGACTGGAGAGTGCCACTTCATGAAAATGAAAGATTCTGTTTACGGCAGAATGATTCTCCATGTAACTCTGTACCTTAGGATAAACAAGCTGAACTACATTTAAAATTAGTGAACTAAAATTACTCTTATCTAGTAATTCTCATATGGTAAACTCTTGGGTGGCTAGAAGTGAAATTGCAACTTTTCTCTCTCTGCTTAAGGATATTTTGATATTGTCCTAACAACATGAGTTTACTCCTAAAACATTATTATCTTGAAACAACACAGTCTTGTTTATGTTACCCAAACATATAAATGTTACTTCTGTTATTTACTATGCATTACAGAAACTAAGGCAAATATTTAATACTTCAAATATACAATATTTAGAAACCAAATGAAGCAGTAATTTGTTATTCAGCTGGAAGGCAACAGTCTATTATTCAAATACAAGAGTGGTCTAGAGAAGATTTTGAGAACATCAAAGGTGCAATATTCTAAGCCAAACACAAGATTTTAACATATTTGATTTAATAAAACCTAAACCATAATAGTCATCTCTATAATTATTTGATGAATAAGCATATATAGTCTTTTTTTTAAATGAACTGACCTGATCAAATCGTAGAACAGGCTCATTTGCATTGTTAAAACTGTACACTTCCACCATTCCATCATCTCTCCCAACAAGTAAATCCTTAACCCCATCACCCACAATGTCAAAGCTGTCAACACACAAAATCCCTTTAAAAAAAGATGATAGAGGTGACAAGTTATTAATAAAACTAACACTATAGTCAAGTATATACAAAGTAAAGAATGAAAAAAAAATGTATATACCAAATCAGAATGGGAAAAAAAACAAAAACCTTGGACCATAATCAGGTGTCCTCTTTTCTATCTACATTCATCCATTTCCAAGACTTTAAATATACTCTAAATAAAAAAATAAATAAAATAAATAAAAATAAAAAATAAATATACTCTGAATAGAAATAGCTCATAAGTTTATATCTCCAGTTCTGGCCTCTCCCCAGAGCTCCAGACTCATATATTCAAGTCTCTATTCAACATTTTCTTTGAGACATACATTTGCATCTCAAACTCTCCATACCCCAGTGAAAATTCTTCATTCCCCTTAATCACATCCCCTCAATGCTCCTTCCCCAATCTCTCCTCATCTCAGTAAGGTATCACCCAGTTCCTCAGGCCAAAAATCTAGGCTACATCTCTGATTCCTCTCTTTCTCACTGCCCAGATCAAATCCCTTAGCAAATCTTATCAGCCCTATCTTCAAAACATACTGAAATTGTCTCCTTTCCATTTCCAACTACCATTAGCTTAGCCCAGGCCACTTATATCTCTAGCCTAGAGTAAAATAAATTATAACAACTATAACAATGACTTCCTAACCAATCTCTATGCTTCCAATTTTGACCTGCTTCCCCCCAAATCCATTCTCTCTGGTAGGTTTTTTGTTGTTTTGGTAGATTAGATCATGTCATACTCCCACTTAAAATTCTCCAAAGACTTCTCACTGCACTTAGATCAAAATCCAAACCCTTTTACAAGGCCCATAAGGACCTACATGATTTGGCTCTATGCTACTTCCCTGACTTCTTTTCTTGCCATGCTAATGCATTTAGCCACACTGGTCTTCCCTCTGCTCCTCAAATGAATCAAGTTTATCCCTGCCTCAAGTCCTGAGTTTTTCCTCTTTCTCCAGCATACCCCCCCCCCCCAAGTTTTTACATTACTATCTCCTTTACTTATCAATCAGATCTCAGCTCAGATTTTACCCTTTATAAGATGCCTTCCATTACTACCCAGTCTAAATATAGTCTTCCTCCCTCCACCCATCACTAATACATCACCCTCTGATATTTCTTTCAGGTAACTGGATGAAGCTATCTTACTTATTCATTTGTTTATTCTCTGTCTCTGCTACCTAACAAGTATTTGTTGAAGGAATAAATGAATATATGAATAGAATTACTATACCTATAAATAGCCATCTCACTACCTTCTAAGTCAGATATAAATTCCCGCAGAAAGGTATAAATTCCTTAGAAAACAGAAATATTCCCTGACCCATTGGACTTTTTCCTTGTCTCCTATCAACTACTCTCAAATTCAAATAAATTTCCTACACCAAACAGTGAATAATGGCTTTGAACATGGAATGATGTTATGGATGGACATTAGCCCATAAAAGCCTATCTATACTAAACTACTATTAGCATTTCTTAATTAATAATTATGCCAAAGTATGACAGACCTGCTAAATAAACAAATAGTAAGGTGGCTCTGTGAAGTGCTAGGTCTACTATGTACCATGAATAAATAAAACAGAATGAACTATATAATTCAGGATATTTAATAATCAATGAAATTTCAGAATCTAAACTACATCAAAAACATACCTCCCCGCTTTTTCTCATTTTGAATTTCCCACTTGTGTATTGGTTTGGAGGTAGTGATCTGAATAAGCCCAAGTTTTCCATCTGATGTTCCAAACCAAAGGTCTTCTCCAGAGTCACCTAGTTATAATTAAAGTCAACATGTAATTTTATCCCATGACTCATCTCTTTAAAACTGAAAATTTTTTGTATACATTGATTTTCACATAAAAATCTCATTTAAAAAATATAAAAAGAACACTTACTTTGGGGGGGTTGGTTATTTAGTCACAGAATTTTATAAATATAAGAGATAAGACCCTTTCTCATCTAATATTAAGATAAGGAAACTGAAAATTAAAGTTCAATAATTCATTACTGTTAGTTACTGGCAAGTTATCTGAAGACTATTGTCTCAATTCCAGTTCATGTTCTTTCTACAATTTCCCATTTTCACTTAATATATAGTTAAATGATTAAACCTGAAATATCTAGACTTAACTAACATAATGCCCTCCCTTATTTGATTGTGATTACCGCCATTTCCGTTGTGTAGTGCTAAAACAGTAGGTGGGCCAGGCACTTCAGTTTCATACATCACATCAGATCCCTGAAGGAGAACAAGTATTTCAAAACTGAAACAGAGTACAAATTTAAAATAATATAGGCACTCATAGATAATGTCAATATTCATATAAAGAACTCCAGAATAAAACTGCCAGAAAAGATTAGGTTGTGATTAACTTGTCTTTGTTAGCAATTGTGTATATGTTAATTCATTTAAAAATACATACAAAATGTAAAGATCAAGAAGAAATATATAAAATATTCTACACTTTAAATACTTTTCATTTTAAATACTTTTCCCAAAAACTTGACTGACACTGGTAAATTTTCCTATCAAAGCTTTCCAGGAACAAGTTGTTGCTTTTTTCCAGTTTAACTTAGAGCACATTCAAACATTTAAACAGACCCAAAGTTACTTCCTAAGGAGAATGTTGGCTTTTCTTTTGGATATTTCCAAAACCTACTCCAATGAGAGGTCAAAGGACCTGTTACTTAGATAAGAAAACAAATTATGTCCATTTGTCTTTTTAAAAATTTTGTCACTTGTAATGTTTTCATTTAGTACACAGTATTTGTGAAGCTGTTAAAGAATGAGGTAGAAGTACTTACACTCACATGGAAAAAATATCTATGATAAATCATTCAACAAAAAACCCCACAAAATTATAGTAAATATGGAATAACATTTTTCTTAAAAAATTAAATAACATATAAAAATATAAAAGTCACATGCTTTATCTTTTATTTAAAATTACACTTGAAACTTCACAGGTATCAAGTATATAAACAAAAAAATACACAAAAAAACTTTAAAAAAAGACTACCTCTGGGGCAACGGATTGCTTACAAATGTGGAGTCGATGGGGTGTAGGGATATGTGAAGGGTAGAACAAAGGCTTCAGGTTTTAACTTCTCACAAATCCTTAGTGATTTTTTTATTTTTACAGTAAGCACATGGATCTCTTCTTGTTAAACAAAGCAGAATCCTCAAATCAGCTAGACCAATTCCTAATTGAATACTAGCCAGCTCCTGTTAAAAGCCTTATTCAAACAACTTGTATTTGGGAGCACAGGCTATTGAAGAAATTAATCATTCATGCCCCTAGAATGAACCTTGAACATTAACTTTTTTCCCATAGAAAAAAAAAATAAACCTCATAGAACTACTGGAATTTTCCTTCTATTAAAGGACTGATGTCAAGAAATGGCTATGAAATTTCTGGCTGTGAAATTTAGAAGAGTGAGAAAGCCTGTGATGGCACAGAATAAACGGCCAAATGTTTTGTTCAACCGCACTATCATCAGCCCAACTTTCTAACCCACCTAATCCAAGTGTTCTAGGTTATTTGCATTTAAACTTTATTTTATGGATCCTGGTGTGTTTACATATGTGTATTTTATTGAAAGCCATTTTTGAGAAGACATAGTTGTAACTCTTATTACTAATAACAATGCCTTATGCAGTTGTTTTAACCAATCATAGTTTTTAGTAGAAATATAAGGACAATAAACTGATTTTTCTATCATTCATTTACTTATCCAATAAATATTTACTGAGTGCTTATTCTGTTCCGCATATTGTCATAAATGTGGAATAAACTCAAATGATACAACCCTGATCACAACTATCCCTTCTTTGTTAAAACCTAACACCCTCTCCCCAACACAATTTCCTCCATTAATTTGATTTTTGGGGGCGGGAAGAGTAATGGAGGAAGAAAGAAAAAAAAGCTAGAAAGAGTTCTTTGTAGCAAAGGCATTCCGTTCTGACTGAACTAGTTCAGAAATTATGCATGGGGGCAGAAAAGCATCCTTTTTCCGATATATGTCTCTCTAAAAACTTGCCAAAGATCTCAATACATTTGCCTTAAGTTAAAAAAAAAAAATTAGCTTACCAATTAAAAAGCATTTTTTCCAGATATAATTTTAAGTAGGACATTTAAAGTGGTAGTAATAAGTAATTTATCTCAAGTACACATTGTTCAGCAATATTCATTTACATAAATTATGAAAAACCATAAAAATTCAAATAACAGAAACCTGTAAAACTCTGAGCACTCTGTCCTGGCAGGCCAATACTGGTGTAATACGAGGTAATCTTTCCACTGGAAGGCAGATGACGTCATTGATTTTGTCCCCAGAAAGGTAATAATGTTGGTCTTTGCAATCACAATAATGGTTATAGATGTAACTTGCACTGAGAAAGAGGTCTGAGCCAGATATATGCCTGAGGACATTAAAAGTAATTTAAAATATCCATATTTTAAAAAATAAGCATAGGAAACTCCTGAATTCTTTTGATATGAAAATAAGTTTACTTATACAAGTCTCTTTCATTTTATCACAAACTTAAAGAATAGTTCCCCCCCCACCATTTCCCCCACTTAATTTGTAGCCTTTTGATATAATGCTGATTTTAAAAAGCTGAAAATGAGGATCTTAAGGCTTCAGCCATCTCAAAAATTAAGCTCAGAAAAACTGAAAACAAAGACAATGATAATTGTCTATATCTAAAGACAATGTCAAAAAGTAACTTTTTCTCAATGTGCACTATGTGCCAAGCACTGTCCTGACAGATTTACATATATTACATGTATTAGCTTAATCCTCATAATTCTGTAAACTAGGGACTATTATTATCCCTTTTTACAGAGAACAATAAAATGTTAAGTAACTTGCCTAATGGCACACAACTAGTAGTGGAGTGGATTGCGGCTCAGGTAGCTTTTAGGTCTAGAGTTAGCTTTCTTAATACTACACTAAGTTGTCCGGAAAAGGCTTTTGGAAGCAAATCTACTTTAAATGATAAACAGTGGGGAAAAAATGATTTCATTAGAATTTTTCTTGAAAAAAGAAATGAAAACAAGTTGATTTCAAATTATATTTAACAAAATTTAGGCAATAATCATAGCAATGTTCTAATTCTTATATTGAATCCAGTTTTTACTGGGGGAGCTGAAATTTGACAAAAATCATGTACCAGTGTATTACCTTTCACTTCTAGATTGCTAAAATCATGTAATCATAAAGAAGGTAATTTTATTTGAAGGTTTCATCTATTTCTCCACCGCTCTAAAGTCTAGTTAAAAAGTTTTGGTACTAAAATTATTCCCTATGCTATAAGGATCTTCATTGATTTTCTCTTCGATTATCGCTTAAGGGGCCTCACTTTGTGGCTCTGCCTATGATTTCAGTAGTCCTCTTAATATCATTTTTACCAACCTAATGAAATTCTATCTTTTTCAAGATTTTAAGTTTCATCTTGAAATCCATCTGCACTACATTTGAAATTATATTGCAATTACACATTTTCCAAAGTATTACTTGCAATCACTACTGTTGACAAGAGCGGGGACAGATGGAAGCATTAAGCAGGGAAGGATGCGTAAATGGTAACCAACTTTGTAAGTGCTCAGTTTCTTACTGAATATTTTCAAGTTATAACCTTGCTTTCCTGTGCACCCTTGTAAATCTGGGGATTCAGACAATAAATTTTAAAAAATTGAGTAAAGATCCTCTCCATCCCACCTCTGCCACTCTAGTAAGAATGTTTAAGAAACTAGCAATAGATACTGGCTGGGAAACTCCTGATCTTCCTCAAACCTCTGTCCACATACCTTCCTGAATGTGGAGTTATGCAAATTATTAATTTACTACTTTGATTTTAGTATTTCACAATTATCACTGGACATTTCAAAAATATTACATTCTTGGGTGCCTGGGTGGCTCAGTTGGCTAAGCGACTGCCTTCGGCTCAGGTCATGATCCTGGAGTCCCGGGATCGAGTCCCACATCGGGCTCCCTGCTCAGCGGGGAGTCTGCTTCTCCCTCTGACCCTCTTCCCTCTCGTGCTATCTCTCATTCTCTCTCTCAAATAAATAAATAAAATCTTTAAAAAAAATATTACATTCTTGTTAAACCACTGAATTCACTCCCACTTGCCACTGTTTAATTTTTACCTAATCTCACCAAAGCAAAGTTTTACAGCCTGGACATTAGGACATGTGATGTGCATTATACAGAATTATGCAGGACAGCTGTGCATCACATAGAACTCTGGACTGAATTAGTAGTTTTCAAACCAAGGTCTACAACTTGGCTGTTGTTGTAAAATGAAGAACTTTTTTCTTTTCACTCACTCCTAATAATTCTGAATCTGCAGGTATGAGTAGGACAAGAAATCTACTCTTTTAAAGCTTCCAAGAGATTCTCCTAAGTAGCAGGTCTGAGGACAGTGGATTAGATAAACTTTAAAACCCTTCTAGTTCCCATGATTTAAAAAACTAAAATTTTACTTGCAAAATCTCACAAATCAGGAAGCCATTAAGGGAGTTATTTTTTTACTCAGAATCTTACTTGATTTACCTGAAATTATAGCCTATTGCTAGTTACCAACTTTGGTAGCCAGCTTTTTGACAAATGATGCTACCTCACAACCAAAATAACCAGAGACAGCAAAGGAACAGAAACCTAAGTATCTCTAGATTTCTTTTACTTTTTTCTTTTATACCTTGATCATGAATCAACTGAACCATTTAGTCAAAAAATGAATGTATAAATACTATAAGGGTCTTAAAAAGAAAACATTTCGACAACCAATTGATTTTGTACTGATTCTATGTTAATTAATTTCTGACTAATAAAGTACCTTTAGTCAATTTTATTTCCCAGGAAACCTATTAAGATATGATACTCAATCTGATGTTTGTCACCTATCCAAAATATTATAAATGGATATGTAAAAATAAAAAAAGGATAAACATACATAGCTTTAATGCTTTCAGTGAGGTTGGTTTCAAAAGAGAGGAACTGTTTTCCTCTCTTTGTGAAGCCTCTAATCTCAGATCCTGCAGCAATAAAAATTTTCTCCTGGGGTGTATTAAGAACACCTCCTAGCTCCAATCTTGCAATCTTCTGCCCCGGTAAAGTCTTGAACACTGCCTGCAAAAATTATTGGGGAAAAAATTAAGTACACAAATTTACTGTAAACATTTTCCTTTACTGAAAAAAAATGCTGTGATTTCAAACACACAAAATATTATAGTTCCACTACAGAAACATCTTTAGATATGAATGTATTTACTTCAGTGAGTCTTCAAGGTTTTTGGCTAAAAATCTTCCAAATTTGGAATATTTATTGCCACACATATTTCAGCCACATCATTAAAATCTAAACTTCTGCATCTCAAAGTACAGTTCATTAAGCAGTGGCATCAGTATGAGTAACCTTATTAAAATGCAGAATCTCAGGCCTAACCCCAACTCTACTAAGTAAGAACCTGCATTTTAACAAGATTCCCTCACTGGCTCCAATGGACATGTTTTTGCATTTTAATCATCTTTTTTTTTTTTTTAAAGATTTTATTTATTTGACAGAGAGAGACACAGCAAGAGAGGGAACACAAGCAGGGGGAGTGGGAGAGGGAGAAGCAGGCCTCCCCGCAGAGCAGGGAGCCTGATGCAGGGCTCGATCCCAGGACCCTGGGATCATGACCTGAGCCGAAGGCAGACGCTTAACGACTGAGCCACCCAGGCACCCACATTTTAATCATCTTTTTAAAACTAAAGTCTCCTGTATCTTTAATAATTTTCATGAATTTTAGTACTATAAATAAAAGGCTATAAAATTTACTGAAAACCCAAATGTATAACTTAATATCTAATTGGATACAACATTTATATCATTAATTTTTTCCTGGTTATTTTCCATTTTATTATTGGCACCAGTTTCTTTCCCTCCCCTCCAATGACTTTATACAGAGAGTAAAGTATCTGGGAGGATATATGAATAATGGAAACACTGGGCTTCTGACAGTTTTTACCTATTCATCTTTTTATAAATTCTTCAATATGTGTTCACAGCTCAGATCCATTGCTTGTAAACTATGATTTTGTGAATATAATGATATACAATCACATCCTTGATTAGCTTACATTAAGTGGCAAAGGTGATGGGATAGTCACTTCCATGTTACATTATGTTACATAATGTAACATAATATATGTTACATGTATGTACATATATGTACATACATTAGGTACATAAGACTCCACCTTAGCTGGCTGGAGATTTTCCTGCTGGCCTGAAGAAGTAGGTCAGCATGTTAGGAGTGAGCCTGTGAGAGGACCACAGGGCAAGGAATTGTGGGGACCTCAAGATGATGAGAGCAGGCCTTGGTGTACAGATAGCAATAAAGTGGGGACCTCAGTCCTACAACAGCAAGAATCTGAATAATGTCATGTGAGCTTGGAATAGGACCCCAGCCTGGCACTGCAGCCATGTGAGACACTGAGCTCAGACTCCTGACCCTCAGAAACTGTGAGATAATAAATGTGCGTTGTTTTAAACCCTGAACTTTGAAGTAATCTGTTCTACAGCTAGCTAGCATATGACTCTTTTTTTTTTTTAAGATTTTATTTATTTATTTGACAGAGAGAGACAGTGAGAGCAGGAACACAAGCAGGGAGAGTGGGAGAGGGAGAAGCAGGCTTCCCACTGAGCAGGGAGCCCGATGTGGGACTCGATCCCAGGACCCTGGGATCATGACCTGAGCCGAAGGCAGATGCTTAACGACTGAGCCACCCAGGCACCCTAGCATATGACTCTTGTGTCACCTGTAGCCTCATACTCCATGTAACTACTTCCCTCACAATGCATTTTTCATTGCTTTTAGGAAATTTTAACCTAAAAGTATTCAATAAATAGTGTTTCTCTTTTAGAAAAATCTGTTTTTCTCAAAAAAAAAAAAAAGCTATACATACCACTGCTTCTCCTTTTTTCATGCCAAAGCACATAACTACCCCATCGTGATCTCCAATAACCACCTACAATAGATTGAAGAGAATCTAAAATTACTATTATTATGCCTTTTAACTTATATGGGGGAAACAAGATTTTCAATATATAAATTATGACTTTAAATGTAAAGATCAGAAAATCTAGGAAAGTACCCCCACACAAACTAATACTCCAAGAAATTACAAGAAAAGGGCAAAAAGGAGGTATGGAGAGTCATTATGCAAGTAGTTGGCCATATATTTTGTTCCTACAATGTAAACAGAACAAGAGAACAGAGATAGAAATGTCAGGGAGGTAATTTTTTTTCTCAACTGGAGCATAAGAACATGTTAGGATTAACCTTCAAAACAGGTTATCAATTAAAGTTGTGACTGACCTCTTTGATATTTTTAAAACCTGTGTAATAGAAAAATTTTAACATATACAAAAGTAGACAGAATATTATAATGAATTCCCATGGATCCATCACGTAGCTTCAACAATTATCAACATGTAACCAATGGATTATTTTGAAATAAATGCAGAGGAAGATTTCAACACTTCTTTCTCAGGAATTAATAATCAAGCAGACAAAAGATAAGGATATATATTAGAAAAACAATTACCTTTGATCTAATATATATGCACATATGTATATATGCATGTACATATATATAGGGTGTGTGTGTGCGCACACATGCATAAATAAGTAATCATTCATCCTAAGAATTAAATTATAAATGTTCTTTTCAAGCACACAGGAACATCAGAAAATTGACCATGTATTAGGACATAAATAAAATAAGTCTCAAATACCAAAAACTTGATGTTGCAGAGCACATTCTTAGGCACCCAATTTTTTTAAAGATTTTATTTATTTATTCATGAGAGACAGAGACAGAGAGAGAGAGAGGAAGAAGCAGCGGGAAAAGCAGGCTCCCCGTAAAACAGAGAGCCCAACGTGGGATTTGATCCCAGGACCCTGGGATCACGACCTGAGCTGAAGGCAGACACTTAAGTGACTGAGCCATCCAGGGCCCCAAAGCCCCTGAGTCTTAACTTTGGGGTAGTGGGATAGCAAACCCCTTTGTGCATTTGATGAAAGCTATGGACTTTCTCCCCAGAACAATGAACATTCACAAATAATTATGCACACATTTTCAGGAGATTTGTAGATCTTTGGTATTGGCAGATTTCTATTCAGATGAAAAAATACATAAGAACAGTTAAGGTTTTGAGTTTTTTTTAACACTACACTACTCCAATAATTTACAAAAACAATAATCTATTTCAGGGATTCCCAAAGTGTGATTACTGGACTCCTGGGGTCAACGAGAACTTTTTAGGGAATCTGCCAAGTGAAAACTATTTTTCTCAGTAAGTCTTTCTTCTTTCACTAGGTTGATATTTGCAATGATGGTACAAAAGCAATGGTGGATAAAATTGCTAGTGTCTGGCAAGAATCAAAACGACAACAAACCACACCAGTGGTCACTGTAATCTTCATCACCACTTCACAGTAAAGAAAAAAAAAATCCAACTTCATGTAACAGTATTCTGGATGAAGCAATAAAAATTATTAATCTTGTTAAATTTTGACCCTTGAGTCATCTCTTTTTAATATTTACTGTGAGAAAATAGAAAATATGCATAAAATTGGGGTGCCTGGGGGGTACAGTCTGTTGAGCATCAGACTCTTGGTTTAGGCTCAGGTCGTGATCTCAGGGTCCTGAGATCTAGCCCCAAGTTGGGCTGGTGCTCATTGTGGAGTCTGCTTAAGATTCTCTCTGCAGCCTGCTCTCTAAAATAGATGAGTGGTCACGGCGCCTGGGTGGCTCAGTTGGTTAAAGCGTCTTCCTTCATCTCAGGTCATAATCCCAGAGTCCTGGGATCAAGTCCCACACTGGGCTCCCTGCTCAGCGTAGAATCTGCTTCTCCATCTCTCTCTGCGCCTCATCCCGCTGAGTCTGCTTCTCCCTCTGCTCCTCACCCCACTTGTGATCTCTCTCAAATAAATAAAATCTTTAGGAAAAAAAATAAATAAAATAGATGGATGGATCTTTAAAAAAGAAAATATGCATAAAACACTCTTGCTGCAAACCAAAAAGCACTTATATAATTGTTTCAATCATGAGCTGAACTACCCAGTTTTTTTAAGAAACACATTATTTTTAAAGATTTATTTTATTTTAGAGAGAGAGAAAGAGAGAGAAAAACGGTGGGGGGGGGGAGTGGCAGAAGGAGAGGGAGAGAGAAACTCAAGCAGACGCTGCCCTGAGTACTGAGTTGGACGTGGGCTCAATCGATCTCATAACCCTGAGATCAGATCTGAACTGAAACCGAGTCAGAGCTTAGCTGACTGCACCACTAGGCACCCCAAGAAACACAATTTTAAGAATGAAAAAACAACTGTCAACTATTAACAATGGTTAATAATAAGTTGTTATTAACACTTGGGTATTTGTAGATATTTTTTTTTATAAAACTGAAGGAAGTGAGCTTGTCATTTTAAAGGAAAATAATTGAGAGTGTTTGCTCCCAATGATAAAATTTGAGCTTTCACATGAAAATAAGTACTCTGGGAGACTTGTATCTGCCACTGGGAGCTGGACAGCTAGCTATTCCATATTTAACAACTTTTCTGATGAAATCTGTAGTGATATCAACAAATGTGATTTGTTTGATATTCTATAATAACATTTGGACAATCAACATATGAACATTCAACCTTTGGGAGATCTGTATAACTCAATGAACTAATAATCTCAAAAGACCATTACAAGATGCTATAAAACCATGCATGAGTAAAAGATCCATTCAAAGTACAAATGGTTTTTAATGTACCAAAGTATGAAAAGCTACTCAATATGGTTTCATATTCCACATTGCAACTAATATTTAAGAAACTACTACTTGCCAAGTATATGTGTCATATCATGTACGAAGAGCCATAATTATCTGAAAAAGCTATATTTAAATAACTCCTACTTTCAACTGTGTGTCTGTGTGAGGTGGGTTTTCTTTGTATACTTCAATCAAAACAATATATCACAATAGACAGTAGGAAACAGCCATGAGAAGCCAGGTGCCTCTGTCTGTGCCAGACTAAAGAACTGACAAAGGTGTAATACAATGCCACTATTCTCACTAAATTCTCTTTGTTTATGAAAATACAGTTACTTTTCATTAAAATGTTATTTATGTAAACGTAATGGGTTTATTTTAAAAAATAAAATAATAAATATTTTAGACATTTCTCAGCTTTAATCTTAATATAATAATATTCATAGACATAACCCAAATAAACAAAAGTTCTTTGGGATCCTACATAATTTCAGAGTGTAAAAGGGTGCTGAGACCAAAAAGAATTTGAGAAGTTCTGATCTAATAGACCAAATACACATGACAATCAGAAATCTGTTGATTTGTCTTAATAAAATGTTATTACATCAGGATAGTGTATTTATTTGGCAGCTATTAAAATATCTTACTAGTCTACTAGGAAATTATAATTGGCTTATATAAATCATAGGATCAATATTTCTATAAAAATAATATTAGCTAGATAGAAAGTTCAATATCAAAATACTTAAATACTTATAAAGACTTTATTTTTATTTATCAGAAAGAGAGAGTGGGGCAGAGGAGGAATCAGAGGGAGAGGGAGAAGCAGATTCCGAAATGAACATGGAGCTGATGCCAGGCTCGATCTCAGGACCCTGAGATCACGAATTGAGCCAAAACTAAGAGTTTGACACTTAACTGACTGAGCCACCAAGGCACCTCAATATTTCTTCTTACAAATATGATAAAGTTCAACAAGAATTTTCTCTATATCCTATTGTGCTTTATGTTTCTTTTTCATATACACAATCTGCTACACACAAGTACACATTGAGTAAATTATTAACAGGAAAATGGAATATGTTTTTCAACAAGTTTGCTTATCCTTTACAGACTGTACATAAAAATTATAACATCCAAGAAAATTACTGTCTATAAATATCCCTTGGTATTCCAACCTCCGTTCAAATTAAAAGAAATTTATTTACATTTTAACATTAAAGAGTAACTTACCAATAAAGAAATATAAACCTCTCCTCTGTCAGAGCTAAAGCGATAGGGAGAAACCATTAACTCTACAGTACCTTTTGTGTAGTTCTATGTCTTGAGGCAGGAAGTAGCTTCATAGTCTTCTGAGAGGTCACTCCCACCTAAGGAAACACACCAGTCACCTAGTGAATGTTTTCTGACATGAAATGATTACATCAGAGATTAAAAGGACCAGCAGATTCAGATCATAGTGAGACTTATTTTTATTGCAATTGGTGATATGAAATAATTATGATCAGTGATGAACTTACTTTCTAATGAAATATGCCACAAAAGTCAAAATATAGGACACCCCAAAATAGTAAAATTTATGCTATAAAGTTGTCAAGCCAAAAATAATGCGACATTAGTGGCAAAATACTTTTTTTTTTAAAGATTTTATTTATTTGTCAGAAAGAGAGAGAGTGAACACACAAGCGGGGGGAGTGGCAGGCAGAGAGAAGCAGGCTCCTCACTGAGCAAGGAGCCAGATGCAGGACTGGATCCCAGGACCCTGGGATCATGACCTGAGCCAAAGACAGATGCTTAAAATGACTGAGCCACCCAAGCATTCATAGTGGAAAAACACTTCACAAACAAATATTTCTAGAAGATTTCATAAAAAACTTCATATATACAGTTGTCATATAGTTGTTAAAGAGTTTTTTTAAAGTGATTAAAAATCTTTGGAAATAGATTACAATTATTTAAAATGCAACATAGAAGATTTTTGCTAAAATACCAAACATGCTGATGGCAATGACATCCAATCCGATGATGAAGATTATTTTACAAAAGATATGAAAGATGAAAACAGCATGGCCTGTTCAGCAGGGAACTATCACTAGTGGTGCACAGTTAGGATAGGAGGCTGGGTGGATGGGACCAATGGGGGAGAAGTTGGAAAAAACAGATCATGAAAAGATTTACAGATAATGTAGAACTACAATTTTATTCCATATTCTAAGGAGTAGTATTAAAGTTTAAAGTAATCTGTTTATATTTGCATTTGTGAAACATCACTCTAACAAGTGATGTGAAGGATGGCTCAGAGGGAGGTGAAGCTGGAGGCTAGGAGCCCAATTAAGAAAATGAGAACCTGAACTGGGGGTAATGAAGATGGCAACAATGGGACAGAGTCAAGAGATATTTAGGAGATAAAAGCAGTAGCAAAATGTAGTGACCAGTTCAATATGGAAGATATTAAGATGGAAAGTGCCTAGCATAATTTCCAGGTAAACTGACGGGGCAAACTTTTGCACCATTAGTCAAAATAGGATTACTGAAAAAGAAGATGGAAAAGAGGGACAAAATGTCTAGAGCTTAAATAATGAGAGGCAGGATGGTGTAACAGAACACCAGCTGTGGAGTCAAGAGACTTTGCTTCACATAGGACTCCATCCTTTTTCTCTGTTAAGCAAATTGCTTTATCTGAGTCCCTGGATCCCGATCTGTAACATTACCTACTTCGAGAATTTTTATGACGATTAAATAGCAATGTATGTTAAGCTCTTAGAATAAATTGCATGCACAATAAGCAGTTGTCGTTTTTATGATGATCTGGCTGGTGAGGTCCAGCTCACAGTTAAGAAGTGTCTGGTGCTCGGAGAAGGGGCTGGGTAGAGATGGAGATTTGGGAGTTACGGGCCAACAGGTAGCTGCAGCCTGGGAGAAGAAGGGCCCCGGGGAGTTATCCGGGATCACGTCAGTTCTTTCTAGGCATCTTTAAGACCAGGCGCCAGCAACGCGGGAGCATGTGTCGCTTCTTTACAAGTCCCGGCGGACCCTCAAGGACAAGCAGGAGTTGCCCGTGACCGGGACTACGCGAGCTCAGCACCCAGCCCCGCAGCATCTTCGCCACCGCACCCGCTCCGGGCGACCGCGACAGACGTTACTGGAAGGACAAAATCCTCTCGGGGAGCGGGTCTCACCCAGCGCGGCTCTCGCTTTATCCCCTCAGGTTTACCTGTAAATAATCCGCTCGGTTTAAATTTAGATCCATGACGGTGGCACCAACGCGCTGCGCAGGGCCGGGACCGCACAGGAGTGACAGAGGCTGACACAGCCCGGGCCTCTGAAGGGGTACCGCTCGCGTCCCCTCGAAAGAACAACCCCAGCAGCCTCAGTAGGGGATGCAAATGCAAGGCGTCAGGGCAGCGGCGTCCGCGTGACGTCAATACGTTCACGCGAAGAGGACAGCCTCCGCCAAAACGAAGCCACGCCCCTCTCCTGAAGGACCGCCCACGGACTTAACCTCCTCCAATCAGAGGCAGAGAGGAAAGGAGGACGCGATCCTGGAGACCGGAGAAAGGTGGTTTCCCCGGAGACTGCAAACGCAGCATTGGCCCCACCCCCACCGCCCTCTAGAGCTGCACTTCCAAATCCTTCTTGGTGTAGACCCGCGATCTGAAACCTGTGTAGATTCTGAACTATTTTACTGACACTGGAAAGGGTCCTTCAAAGAATTAGGTTCCAAAGTTATAGGCGTTAGCTTACCACAGTGCTTATCAAACTTCTGACCTTACGATCCCTTTACAAAACTCTTACAAACCATTTTGGAGGACCCCAAAGACCTTTTGTTTTTATGGGTTATCTGTTGATATTTACGTTAGAAATTAGAACTGAAATTTTAAAATGTATTTTCAAAACTTATTATTTTAATGAAAATAACTTATTTTCGAAGGAAAAAAAGAGGTAAAAAGACTGGTGTTATTTGCAAATCTATTTACTGTCCACCTGAATAGTAGGCAGGCAAGTCCCAGATCTATTACTGCATTCAATCTGTTGGTATAGGTGTGGTTTTTTTTTTTAAGTATATGAGGAAATCTGGTTCAAAATCAACAAGTGGTAGTTTCTGGAAAGCTAATTGCAATGTGGAATGTCTTCATTATACAACATCCAAGAAATCCTATATGTTAATATTACCGTGGATTTCATCAGAAAAGTTTTGAAGTATTAGAAAGCTATCAACCTCAGACAGGTATACAAGTTTTGCAATATTCTAATTTGTGTTTAGGCCAAATTTTAAGCACTGGCAACAAATGTCAATTGTTTTTCTTGAAATGATAGATTCCAGTCTTGAATTCACCAGAAAGTGTATACCAAATATCCAAGTCTGAATAATCATAATTTTTGTCAGTTGTGCTTTTAAAAAAGAAGTGTTCCAGCTAGCAACTCAAATAATCACACAAATGCTTTTCCTTGAGACAGTACCCTTCTGTATTCAATAGAAATGTTTTATGTACTTTCTATTTCACCACACAGAATATTTTAAAAGAAACGTATTCAAGAGTTGAGACTTTAACAACTTTTACTCTTCACAAAGGGCATTTTTATATAGAATTTTGTTTCCTGCCAATATGTGGCATGAGGAATGCAGTAACTATTATTACTGCTTGAAGCTACTGCTTTGATTCATGCTTAAGTACCAGCAGTATTAACCACCATTGTTTTTTGTTTTTTTTTTGTAGGTGATTTCTTAGGTTTAATTTTTTTTAATTTTATTATGTTCCAGTGCAAATATCAACACAGTGGAAAAGGCAGATAACATCTTAGTGTAATGAAAATAGTTTCAAAATCACAGACCCCCTGAAAAGGCCTCAGGGACCTGCAGACTACCACTGGCCTAGAGTGACCCAAGGTCTGACTGAGAGCTCACTTTCCCTGATTCTTTCATCAATCCTTCCTTAATGCACACAGTGCTCTGCCTACAGAAATACTCCAAACGGATGAGTAAGATACAGCCCCTATCCTGATTTCTTTGGTCTACTAGTGGAGAGTTCATAAGTGATTGTGAAACAAGAATTGAAACCCTGAGAAGAGGTGCTTCTTAGGGAGAAAAATTACTTCCTGCAAGGGATCTGAGAAGGTTTTGACTAGGTACCAGAATGTTCCAGACAATTCTTTTTCTGAGGCTAAAATAACTCCATATTAAAATATAAAACAGTGACTGAAGATGGGTTAACTATGTAGAAATCTGGGGGAAAACACACATCAATCTAGATTTCACAAAAATACAGATAAAGTTCAGACATAAACTGAAAAAGCCATAGAGGAGAGATAGGAGAACATAAGAGTTATATAGAATTTAGGGAACTGGAAGGTGTATTAGTTAGCTAGGGCCCCCATAACAAAGTACCACAAACTGGATGACTTTAAACAACAGAAATTTATTTTCTCACAAGTCTCACAGGCTAAGAGTATAAGATCAAAAAGTGTCGGCAGGAAACCAAACCAATCTTCTGAGGCATCTCACCTTGGCTTGTAGATGGCCATCTTTTCCTTGAGTCTTCATGAGGCCTTCCCTCTTTTCAAGTCCCTGTCCTAATCTCTTCTGATAAGGAAACCAGTCACATTGGATTAAGGCCCACCCGAATGACCTCATTCTAACTTAATTACCTCTTTAGAGGTCCTATCCCCAAATTTAGTTGCATTCTGAGGTACTGGGGATTAGGACTTCAACATATGAATTTAAGTGGGACACAATTCAGCCCATAACAGAAGGGAACTTGTCTGATCTTAAGAGGAATAGAAGAAACCACAAAGAAAAAACATATTAAAAATAAAAATGAAACATTTCAATATGTAACAAAAATTTTTACATATAAACAAAAATTTGGAGGCTATGTATAACTTAATATGTTTATAAACAGTTCATACAAATTATTAAAAATGGAAATATTATGATTCCAATAAGTAAACAGGTAAAAATTTGAACAGGTATTTCACAAGGAAAGTGGCTACTGAACAAACTTATAGAAATCTATTACCTTCATTTCTAATCAATAATATTAAAGCAAGATATCTTTTTTATTTTGCCTTTCAGATTAGAAAAAGATTTAAGTGATAACACTGTATGTTGCAGAGAGAGCATGTTCTCATCAACTTTGATGCTTTAAACTGGCAATAAAACACTTTCAAAAGCAATGTAGCAATATGTATCCAATCCTATAAATATGTAATTTTTTAACCCATAACCCCAATTTTGAATATTTAATCTACAAAAACAAAGTAAGAAGTCATAACTAAAGAAACATTTAAAAATAAGGACCAACTATCCAATATAAAGGGAGTGGTGCATCCACTTTATGGACCTCTACGCAGCCACTGAAAGTGAAAATAATGAAGGCTGTATAGCAATGTGGAAAATGTTCAGGAAAATAATAAAAATTGAATATAAAATAGTGTATTGTACCGATTTGTTAGGAAATATATCCAAAAATTTTTAGTTGGTTATAGATTAAAGGATTATAATCTTGTTTTGTGTTTTCCATAAGATTTCTGCATTTTTTTAAGATTTATTTATTTGAGAGAGACAGAGTGATCATGAGAGAGACAAGCAGGGGGAGTAGCAGGCAGAGGGAGAGGGAGAAGCAGTCTTCCCGCTGAGTAAGGAGCCTGATGCGGGAGTGGATCCCAGAACCCTGGGATCATGACCTGGGCCAAAGGCAGACGCTTAACTGACTGAGTCACCCAGGTGCCCAGATTTTTGCATTTTTAATAGAATGTTGCGATTTAAAAATAAAATTGTTATAAAATAAAATTAAAAATTAAGAGATTCTAAGACTCCTGTGTTTAATGCTGTGTAGTTCCCAAAATGAGCATTCTTCTGTCCCTATGTTTGCAAGGTTCTGAAAAAGGGTTATCTAAAACAGTAGGTACCAAATCTTTCCACTATCTATTCTCTTGTTTCTCTTCTCAAGTCCTGGCATTGCATGTTAACAACTTAAGGAAAATGATACAGATATTATTGCTGTTTTTGCATTATAACAAACAAATCAAAATATTGAAAACCTGATGAAGTGGGCAGGAATTATCTTTTTAAAAATTACTCTGGGAAATTCAATACGTATTCCAGGGCTGGGCAAAATTTTGGAAACCATTAGTCCAATGTTTTCCCTTTTGGATCCACAGATCACATTCATAGTAGTATATACTCTTTCAAAGCCCTTAGAATTTTAATAATTATTTCATTTTTTATTGTGCAAGTTTGTAATTAATTTTGTACAGAAGGAAAATGTTTGTGTAAAAATGTAACTTTAAAGAAAAGGCATTTTCTTTTAGGTTGCTATATTATTTAAGAAAGCATTATAAAATTCATCTTCATGCAATCTTTACAATAATTGTAATAAAAACATATACTGGCAATGCTTATTTTCCATTTAACAAGTGATGCCCACTGTTTATTTTACTTTAAGCTAATTGTATAAAAGAGAAAAAGTTTATTTTGAAGATCAAATTTCTTTTAAAACATTGAAATGAGGCTATGATGTAGCATCAAAAATAAAAAGAGCTTGCATAATACAATATTTGGAATTCTTTCATTTTGCATGTAGAAAAGGCAAGTGATTTTTTTTTCAGTACTGTGTTTTGTTTCTAAATGGCAAAGGCTTCAAAGGGCTAATTTTAAATACTTCTTATATAATTAGCAGGGTTTTTATTCACAAAAGTGAAAAGCCAAGTTAGACAAAATTGCCACTATAATTTCTCTTTTCAAACATATTTTAAGGTACATCTTGGTGGGCTACATTAAAAAAATCCAAAAACAAAAACAAAAAATCATTATATCTCAGATGTGATAAATGTCACCTTGAGACAAATTTACAGAAGTACCATACACTTCAGTAACTTATAAACCTTATGTTGTAGTCTTAAGGCAATCATTATGAGTATAAATTAAACAACTTATGACTAAGAATGACAGCAATTTAAACTGCATTGAAGTTAAAACCATCACACAGCTAAAGGTGGTTGACTGAGTGACTGACTCATGAGTATATACATTGGTCTCCACTAACATGTGGTACCAATTTGGAAACTCTCAAACTCTTATTTAAAAAAAATTAATAAATAACCCTTTTAGAATGATTTTAAAAAAGAAACAAGAGGAGAGAGATCATTACCACCTTGGATGATTATATCAGCCCCATGAAACAGCTCTGTGACACCCAAAGACTGAGAACCTGCTTGTAGCATAACCCTGTTTGACTGAACAAGGTATAAAACCAGATTTGTCCCAGGGCAAGCAATTAACGATCGATGTGGCTTCAGTTCTCTTTAGACGTCATTCATAAGACACTTTACCTTCCCATTTACAAAAGCTTCTTTCATTTGGCTTAACATATTTGAAATTGAAATATATTGGATATGATTGGGTAAATGAAACA